ATTTCACACAACGCATTCCTCACCCTCCTGCTCTGCACCCAGGTTTTTGGGTCCGACGGGACTTACCATGGCCGCCTTCCTGTCTGCTCTCCAGCTTGGTGGCCAAGATTAACCTACCACCAAGATGGGCCAATTACCGTCTTGATTCACCACGTTTTCCCAGAGGACATGGCAGAGTTGCTAGCAAGCGAGCTTTGAGTCCTTCAACAACTCTTTATGCAACAGAAAGAGAACGAGCGAAATGGAACCACAGTTGCTTCCTCTATTCCCCCCACCCCCCACCCTTTGCTTAATTCCCCTTCATTTCCGTATTTTGGGTAAGTCAAAAAAAAAAAAAAGAGGTTTGTCCTCACTTGAGATGAAGAGGAACACCTCTGCTAGAATCAATCCGGATGTATGAAAAAAACCAACACCCTTGTTGTTTTAAAGGTACCATCTTCAGAGAAATGACTCATCAGACATGAAACATCAGCTATGAGGATGTGCTAAATATCCAGCCCCTTAAAAAGGAGTTATGCTCTGAGAAATGCAGATGGCTTTACTTAAATCCACCCATTTAAGTAATTAAATAAATATTTTCCAAATATGTTGGAAAATCAGCAATTTTTAGTGACAGCACAGGTGGTGGGTGGCGGCTAAAAGCAGTGCATTAAAGCAGGGGTCTCCAAATGGCAAAACTGGTTGGGGAATTTTGGGAGTTGAAGTCCTCCAGGCTTAAAGTTGCCAAGGTTGGAGACTAGTAGTGGGTTTCAATCAGTGGTGGGTTTCAAATTTTTTTACTGCCGGTTCTGTGGGTGTGGCTTGGTGGGCGTGGCATGGCTTGGTGGGCGTGGCAGGGGAAAGATACTGTAAAATCTCCATTCCCTCCCCAATCCAGGGGAAGGATACCGTAAAATCTCCATTCCCTCCTCAAACCAGGGGAAAGTTACTGCAAAATCCCCATTTCCTCCCGATCAGCTGGGATTTGGTAGGCAGAGAATAGATGGGGGGAGGGCCAGTCAGAATTTTTACTACGGGTTCTCCAAACTACTCAAAATTTCCACTACCGGTTCTCCAGAACTGGTCAGAACCTGCTGAAACCCACCTCTGGTTTCTATTTCGGTTGCTAGCGGTTCGCTCGTGGGTGCGCACACGCTCATGCATGCGGGTGACGCTTCTGTGCATGCGCAGAGATGTCCAGGCGGGTGGGTGAGGCCTCCGACTGGATGGTGTCAGAACTGAAGGAGCTTCTTGGATGAGAAGAGAAACGTCTTCAAAGAAAAACCAGAAAGTCCAGTTGCCTCTTGAAAAAGGCACCTTTGGGACATCTGTTGTCTCAAGAAAAAGAAAACATATTGTACCAAGATGTTGTACCAGTGGTCCCCAATTGTTCTGCCCCAGCTACGGATCCCAAAGAATGTAGCACACACAAACTCAGTTTACTTCAAAACACAGTCTTTTGCAAATGCAGGCTGTTAATAAAATGTTCTTAACTGCCAGAAATTCCACAGATAAGATAAGAGTTGGCAGAAAGCCCAGAAGCCAGGTTTGCAGAGAAAATTCAAACTCAATGATCAGCGAATGAACACGTTGTTTCCTGCAGCCTCCTCGTCGTCGGGATCAGCAACAATCTGCGCAGGCCACTGACGGGCCACAACACCAATCTTTATGCCTTGGCAGCCCACGGGGGAGGTTAGAGGGGAACCAGCCCTGGTGCTTGTGCAAATCGAGTTGCACGCACACACATGTGCTGGCCCACTGCTCACGCAGCCTAGTTCTGAATGGGCCACAGCCTGGTAGTGGGCTGTGGCCCAGGGGTTGGGGACTTCTGGGTTAACCAACCTTCAATTAACTATCATAACCTTTTTATATCTTTTCTCTAGGCTAGTTATTTTCAGTTTTTCCAATTAATAATCTTAGCTTAATTCTAGACTCCTCTACATAATACCGTGTTTCCTGTCCAGACCTGTCTTATATTTTTTTGAACCCTGAAATAAGTGCTTGGCCTTATTTTCGGGGAGGTCTTATTATTTTGGGGCATGGAGCAAGACCGGGGTCCTCTTGCTGTCTTACCTGATTTCCAGCTCTGTCTCCCTAACGCATGCATTTAAATATTTTCGGGTAGGGCTTATTTTCGGGGGGGGGGCTTATTTTAGCCCCTGCGCTCAAAAACCCGATTGGGCTTATTATCAGGGGATGTCTTATTTTAGGGGAAACAGGGTAATGATCCCTTACTGGATGTGTTCCAGAGCTGGACACTATTTAATTATCATCCAGGTAGGGGAATGTCAGAATCTACAAGAGAGTGGGCAGTGAAACTCCTCTTTCCAAATCAGCAAATATTTACAGGAAGTCTTTGACTTACGACCACAATTGAGCCCAATATTTATGTTGCTAAGCAAGACAGTTGTTAAGTGAATTTTATGACCTTTCTTGCCAAAGTTGTTAAGTGAATCACTGCATTCTTCATTGATTTTGCTCATCAGAAAGTTGCAAAAAGTGATCACATTGTCAGACCTGGAAGCCATCTTTTACATTTGGACCTTCAGGCCTGCCACATTTTCTACTGTGGGGAAATGGGAGGAGGGATTGCATAGAGTATGGGTGATATGTAGTCAAAATAACATTCCTTTCTCAGAGAGTCAAGGTCGCCTTGCCCTGGCACCTGGAGTCAGATGACTGGGAGGTATCTCCAATTTGGATGGTGGATGATAGGACCATGTGATAGACTTGTGGGTGCTGGGCAGGGACTTGAACTTTCATTTGGGTGGGGAAAACCTGGAAACTTTCAGATTAGGGTTTTCCCAGATGTGCCAATATGACATTTCTAATAAAATGAAACTTTGAGGAAACTCAAGCCTCGGAATCTTCTTTCGTTGGGGGTGTTACTTGGAATCCTGATGCACATGACCCCAGGACACAGTCATAAATATGAGCTGGTTGCCAAGCATCCGAATTTTGATCATGTGACTTTGGGGATATTGCAACAGTCATAAGTGTGAAAAATGGTTGTCACTTTTTTCATTGTTGTACTTTTGAGCAGTCATTAAACAAATGGGTTTAAGTCGAGGACTACCCGTACACTGTATAACTGTCACCAAACTCCGAAGGGCACTAACATTAGCATGCTGCAATGCACTTCCAAAAAGCAGTTTTGAAGGGCCGATATAAAAAAAAATCTGTATGAGCGGGGACTGTACATCTGTAGATACTGGGTTATCGAAACTGCAGCTCATGTCATACTATACGGGTAGTCCTCGACTTACAACAGTTCATTTAGTGACCATTCAAAGTTACAATGATGCTGAAAAAAGTGACTTAATGAGTTTTTCACACTTATGACCATTGCAGCATCCCCGTGGTCACATGATTTACAAGTGATACACGGTCATGGGATCAAAATCCAGCCGCTTGGCAACTGATTCATATTTACGATGGTTTGCGGTGTCCCTAGGTCATGTGATCACCTTCTGTGACCTTCTGACAAACAAAGTCAATGGGGAAGCCAGACTCACTTAAGAATTGTATTACAGGTAGTCCTTGAACAACTGAGCGCAAAATTTCTGTTGGTAAGTGAGACATTTGTAAACTGAATTTTGCCCCATTTAACGACTTTTCTTGCCTCAGTTGTTAAGTGAATCACTGCAGTTGGTAAGTTAGTAACCCGGCTCTTAAGTGAATCTGGCTTCCCCACTGACTTTGCTTGACAGAAGGTCACAAAAGAGGGTTGGCCTTGCAATACAGCAATGGCCATATGAACCAGTTGCCAAGCATCTGAATTTTGATCACATGATCATGGGGGGTGCTGCAAAGGTCGTAACTGTGAAAAACGGTCATAAGTCACTTTTTTCAGTGCCATTGCAACTTTGAATGGTCACTAAATGAACTGAATGGTCACTAAATGAACTGTTGTAAGTCAAGTACTAACTGTAAGTTAGTACTAACTGCAGTGATTCGCTTAACAAAATGTGGCAAGGAAGATTGTAAAATGGGGCAAGACTCACTTAACAAAGGTCTCACTTAGCAACAAAAATTTTGCACTCAATTGTAAGTCGAGGCTTACCTGTATGTACTTTCTATAAGGACTCAGGGACCCATTTCATAAGACCTCACCTGATAAAATACCTTGGAAACACCGATCTTTTCTACGTACAATTGCTGTTATCAGATCAGTATCATCATTTCTTTGAATGTAGCTAAATTTTGGTATACTGCCTACAAAATTAGGCAGTTTGACTGTCCAATCACAATCCATCTCTAATCATAATATATTTATCTTGTCTTTTAAATTTTTTAAAAAATGTTTCTCATTTTTAAAAAATGAGCCATGATGGTACAGTGGTTAGAGTGCAGTACTGCAGGCTACTTTTACTGACTGCCGGCTGCCTGCAATTTGGCAGTTTGAATCTCACCAGGATCAAGGTTGACTCAGCCTTCCATCCTTCCGAGGTCGGTAAATGAGGACCCAGATTGTTGGGGGCAATAGGCTGACTCTGTAAATTGCTTAGAGAGGGCTGAAAAGCACTGTGAAGCGGTATATAAGTCTAAGTGCTATTGCACTTATGCTTATGTGTAATGCTAATCTGTGACTATAATAAAAAATATTATTATTATTATTACAAGTGGGTGGGAACAACACTGTAATTCAAATCCGGCCCCATTTTGTACATGTATGTGATGTCAAACATGTATAAAAGAGGTGGAGCTTGGATCATCATGTCTTGCCCGCCATGTTGTAGATTTTTACCTCTGTCTGAATGCCATTATGTTTAATGCTATATTTCCTTTACTGAAATTCATTTGTTAGTTGTTTTGACCCTTTAACCTTAACCCTACATCTTAATAATTATTTTAATCCTACATTTTAGTATCAAGTGAAGTTTTACAAATCTGTTCTTTTCTGTTCTGGAAATTGTAGTGTTTGTATTTTCCACAGCTGAATGAAGGTACTGATTCATAAGAATCACTAAGAATGGGCAGTTCTTGAGATCAGGATTCAAAAGAAGTAAATAAATTCAAACTTGGGCTGGTAGGTAGTCCTTTATTATAAAACTCATGCTGTAATTTCTCCCTCTGTCTTTCAAATGCTTTCAGCTTGGAAATAAGATTTTAAACAATTTCTATAATAATTATAATAATACATCTGTGTATATTTATGTATGAAATTATATATATATAAAATCTTAAGTTGCAAGCATCAGAACAGAATTCCCTATCTGAGCAGAAGTAAAAATCACATACATCATTTAAAACATCTTTTGCGAGGCAATCAGAATGATTACAAGTAATCCTCACTTAGTGACTATAACTGGGAATGGCAACAACATTGCTAAGTGCTGGGGTGGCTAAGGGAAATGTCACGTGACTGCGCCAGAGTTCTGTCATTTTTGTTCCCAAGCGAATCACCATGGTTGTTAAGCGAGACATCATGTGAATATGACCTGAAATTTCACTTCCATGCTTCCATTAATTCTTGTCTGAAGTCAGTTGTGAAGCTCGCAAATGGTGATCACATAATCGGGGGAGCTTCAATGACTATAAATGTGAGGATTAGGGCCAAGGTGTTTTTTCCAGTGGTTGTAACTTCAAACAGTTACTAAACAAGGGAGCCAGTAAGCAAAGGCTACTTGTATATTGGGAGAAGGATCTTTGCTTGTACAGGAATGACCTCAGAATAGGAAGTTACCTCATATTTTCTTATTGCACTATAGTCCAAAGCTGAACATTTAAGGATTTGTCCTCAGGCGAGTTACCAAGTACTGAAAAGTCAAAGATTTTTTTTAAAAAATAACACTTGAAAATATTTTCATGTATATGAATATCAGTGGAATCAGTGCAATGGTCCAACACTGGAAATTTTTAAGATGTTGGATAACCACTTGTCTGAAGTAGTGTAGGGTTTCCTGCTTAAGCAGGGGGTTGGACTAGAAGACCTCCAAGGTCCCTTCCGACCAGGGGTGAAATCCAGCAGGTTCTGACAGATTCTGGAGAACCGGTAGCGGAAATTTTGAGTAGTTCGGAGAACCAGCAAATACCACCTCTGGCTGGCCCCAGAGTGGGGTGGGAATGGAGATTTTGCAGTATCCTTCCCTGCCATGCCCACCAAGCCACATCACACCCACCAAGCCACGCCCACAGAACCGGTAGTAAAAACATTTGGATTTCACCACTGCTTCCGATTCTGTTATTCTATTCTATTCTGTTCTTATTCTAAATATGTCATTTTCCTATTTCTAGTCAAATGCTGGTTATCATCGATCTAACATTTGAACTGTATCCAGATTTTTTGTTTTGTTTTAACTCAGGTGAAATGTCAAGGGGAGACAAAAATAAATAGCACAAAATGAGTGAAATTCCACATAATCCTTGCACAATAAACCACTTTCTCAACGTATCTGGGAGGGACCAACTCAGGGCCATCCGTTATGCTAATTCTTAGGGTTAGGGGAGTTTGATTTCAACACAGACCCAAGGGACCCATTAAGGCAGGGGTGTCAAACTCGCGTCGATACGTGATATATTGCAACTTTTTCCTCCTTTGCTAAACAGGGCATGGGTGTGGCCAGCGTATGATACACCTGGCCCGCGGGCCACGAGTTCGACACTTCTGCATTAAGGGTTGTCCTCATTAGATTATAAAAAGGATAATACTAAAGACCTCCATGGAGCCCTTTCCATGGATGATATAGGTAGGGACAAGCAAACCACCTTTGTTGTGTTTTGATCTGAATCCTTCTCTTTAATTTTAGCTCACCTGGAAGCATTGCTAAAACAGTAGAGAAGTGGATAAAGCAGCTTTCTGTTTTTGTATTTTTCCTCCTAGAATACGGGTAGTCCTTGATTTATGACCACAGTTAGGACAACTGATAAGTGATGTAGTTGCTAAGCGAGTTGTGTCCAATTTTACAACATTTTTCGTTAAATGAATCTGGTTTTTCTTGTTGCTTGTTGGAAGCTGGCTGGGAAAGTTTGCAAATGGTGATCAAGTGATCCTGGGACACCGCAACCATCATAAATACATGCCAGTTGCCAAGAGACCAAAGTTTGATCCTATAACTGTGGTGACACTGCAATGGTCATAAGGGTAAGGACCTATCTGTACATGAAGCAAGCAGGATAGAATTCCCCTCTGCAGAATCAATATTATAGGACTGGCTTACCATCTTTAAAATATGTAATCTAATAAATACCCATTATTATCCAAAGAGTTTTGCCCCTAAGACCATTCAATACAAAGCCAACAGTTATAAATGTGCAGATGTATGCATTGATCAAACATTGTGTACACACACAAACACATTTGCACACACGTAGCCCCAGTCATGATTAGAGATGGAAAAGAAATTCAAGAAATAAATCCCAGTTGTGAAAATTGTATTTTTCTGAGCCATGAAGCTTGTGGATCATAGAAAATACTGGAAAATATTTCATTCAAAACGCCTCTCTGGAAAGTAATATAGAAAAATGCAATATGGGGAAATGGCTTGCAAAACTATATACTTTATACATTTGCAAACAAATGTGGATGTTCAAAAAAATTTAACAAATGTTAGTGTATTTTTTAAAAAAAACAAAAACCTCAAAATTGTTTGGAAGTATAAAGTTTACAAATAAAAAAACCCGGAAAAATGAAAGACAGAAAATGAGTCAAATAAAATTGACCGAATTACAAAAATGAGCCTCAGAGAAACTGAAAATTACAGTCTATTTTGATTTTGTCTTTTATATCCTAGCAATACATAATTATTTGCATGTATACAGTTTTAAAAAATGAAGATTGCTGCTCTATGTACCGGTATGTCAGGATTCTATTTGTGTAGTATTTTGAAATGCTACAATGAATTGGAAAAACACTACACAAACACAATCAATATAGCGTCACATGACATATCATTTTTTAAAGAAAAGCATTTTATTTTATGTCCATATATATACGGTAGTAGGAAGATAGATAATAGGGAGGAAAGGTGGATGAATGAAAGCATTTGAAATTATGGTTTATACATGGATTTTTTTTTTAAAAAAAAGGAAATTAAATTGCATGTGACTCAGAATTCTATTTGAGCAGTATTTGCCTTGAACATTTTTCAACTAATAAAACAAAATAAAACATACAGGGCTTTCATACATACACACTCCATGTCACATAAAGAAGTCATTCCTGCAATTAAAACAAAAATAAAAAACATGGATTACATCTGAATCAATAATAAATTTTCTATGGCAGAATAAAAATAAGCTAAAGTGATGTTACATTGAAACCATAGCACCAATTATTGCTACTCTCAGTTGAAAAGCTGGGGGTTAAAGAGAGTGATAAGGGGGATGGAAAAATCACAACAAATATCATTAAAACATGCACCTTAAAAAGAATTCTAAATTTGGCACAGATTCAAGGTATTAGCAAACAAATTAAAAACCAGATAAACAAACAGGATTTTCCTTTTCCCATATATGTATTTTGGCTGCTAACATTCACTTTGTGATAATAAAGGATTGCGACTGAACTTCTTACATTTGAAAGAAAACTACTAAAATTCCTCACGCATGATCCAATGCCTGTAAGGAAATTCAGAATACAGAATAATAATAGAGTTGTAAGGGACCTTGGAGGTCATTCATTTGTCTTTTCCCTTCTTTTAGAAAGCTAAAACAAGAACAAACTCACAAACCAAGTGAGCTTTATGGAATCTCTTGTGTTGTGTACAAGAAAAAAAAAAATCAACGATTTCTGTTCTACAGGATTTTTGGGAAATTTTAACGTGTGTGGACTTCAACACCCAGAATTCTTCAGCTAGCAATGTCAGCCAGCCCAAATACTGGGATTGCATGCTGGCTGGAGAATTCTGGGAGTTGAAGTCCATGCATCTTTGCTCTACCGTTTGATAGTAGGCTTGTGATTCCATCCACTTCTCTCTTCGGTTCTTTTATCCACCCTATTCTGTAACCCTGCCAAAGGCCTGCCTGTAAGGCGGCACTACATATGAGGAAATTTCAAGCACTGCTTTTGGGGGCAAGGTCTAAAACATGTCGGTGGGGCGCTGGTGCCTTGAATTTCCTTCCCTGTTGGGCAGTGGGGGGTTATTGCTGTGATAGTGCAGTTGGCCAGCAATCATGGTACCTAGCTGTGTAATAAAATAAATACAAATGTTTAGCATTTCAAGTAATGCGCTTAAATGTGCTTTCCCATCCATTCGGCCTCCCTCTTGCCTCCGTGTAGTACTTCCTAGCCTGATATGCCCACTGTCTGCCTCAGGGCACATTTCAGCAGTGGTTTAATAACGGTCCTTAGCCAATGGGGAAGATAGAGATTTTCTTTGGTTTCTGGGAGCACCAAAGCCTATGGTGCTGGCTTTTTCACTGATGATCTTGGTGGAGATGGGAAAATGGTGCAGCTGTCTCCTCCCCTCCTGGGCCTTTCCAGTTTTCCTGCAGTTCCAAATGGACATGTATCCGTTTAATGGCCCTGGCAGGTTTTGCAACACATCTGCCGGAAGTATGAACGACCACAGAACTTAGCTTTCAGCACCAAAGGGCAATAGGCAACCTTGTTGACATCTTTGCATTCTGGAGAAGAAGAGAAGGCAAGAGGGAGGGAGGGAGGGAGGGAGAGAGAGAGAAAAACAAACAAACAATGAATTAGTCATTCTGATAGAATATCTGTAGCTTGGGGTTGAACTGTGGAGTTCTTGTTGCTTTCTGTGGTTGTTTGCTTACAGCCATGGTGGCGCAGTGGTTAGAGTGCAGTACTGCAGGCTACTTTTGCTGATTGCTAGCTGCCTACAATTTGGCAGTTCAAATCTCACCAGGCTCAAGGTTGATTCAGCCTTCCATCCTTCTGAAGTGGGTAAAATGAGGGCCCAAATTGTTGGGGGCATTATGTTGACTCTGTTAAACTGCTTAGAAAGGGCTGTAAAACACTGTGAAGTGGTATATAAGTGCTATTGCTATTGCTACAGACATTTTATTACCCAACAAGTTAATATCAGTGTGAGTGAGAGTGGGAATTGCTGTCTCTTTACATGTATAGTTGGATAATTTTCCTCAATAAATGAGCAAGTATAATGTTTCTAACTTATTTATTTAATTGGGTTCTTTTATCTAATTTTAGGACTTGGGTAGAAAACAGAACACATTTTAGTTAATATTTATGCAGAAATATTGAACATTCAAACAGTTTCACAAACTTCTTTACCACCACTGTAGTTGCTTCCTCTGCCAGTTGTGGTGGGGTGTGGTTTCCTCCTTGGTGGTTCCTTGTTTAGAGTATTGTTTTCTGCCCGATTGTTTGTCTGGTTGTTTAGTCTTTTATCTAATAGAGATACACCACATTTACACACCATTCAGAAGAGATACTAAAAAGTCTAGGAAGGAAATGAAAAGATCAGAACACATCTTTTCCAGCAGTCAACGTTCAGATAAGCAGGGATTAACACCAGACAAACAATAAGGCAGAAGAGGATACTCTAATCAAGGAACCTTTCCAAGGAGGAAACCACACCCCAAAAAAACTTCAGGGAAAATATATAAAGAGATAGCAAATTCCACATTCCATCACATTGATGATGTTACCTAGTTGGGTAATGAAATATCTGCAAGTAAACAACCAAGCTTCAATAGTGTCAAGAACTCCACAAAACTAATCATTTATCCATATAACATGCTAAGCTTGTTTAGTTTAACCATAGCTTGGTGACCAAGCCATAAAGGCAAAGTTCAGATCGAATGCTAAATCATACATCAAGGAACAACCACCTATGGTCTTCCAATGGCCGTTTATTACAGGCTTCTAGATGCTTCTGATGCTACTTATAAGATGCTACTTGTATTACTTGAAACTCTGCGCCTCAGAAAATGAACAAAAAAAGGCCAAATATTCTAAGTCTCCTTTTTCTGATGATATCATCCTGTCACCCACCGTTATTCCTGCAGCCCTTAAATGCTGGAGTAAAAAAACTCAACAACTAAAGTAGGGATGTCTAACCTGGGCAACTTTAAGACTTATGGACTTGAACTTCCAGAATCCCCCAGCCAGGCATGCCGGCAGGGGAATTCTGGGAGTTGAAGTCCACACTTCTTAAAGTTGCCATGGTTGGACACCCCGGAATTAAAGTCTACTTTTAGTATGCAACCCCTCATGCCACTGTAATGCTCTGTGGTGAAAAAAATCAGCATGGCTGGGCTTTTATGAACTGCATGGCAGATCTCCTACTACCGTGATGGCGAACCTATGGCACGCGTGCCACAGGTGGCATGCGGAGCCATATCTGTGGGCACGCGAGCATTGCCCTAGCTCAGCTCCAGCCCGCATTGTGCACTGGCCAGCTGACTTTTGGGCCTTTCTGGAAGTCGGGAAACGGGCAATTTCTGGCCTCCAGAGGGCCTCCGGGGGAGTGGGGAAGGCCATTTTTGCCCTCCCCAGGCTCCTAGAAAGTCTCCGGAGCCTGGGGAGGGCAAAAAATGGGCCTACCAGGCCCACCGGACCATCAACTGCCAAAAGCGGGGTCACGCAAATTTGTGAAGCGTTCCATATTTTTTGCATGCATGAAGCGCCTGTAGTACAGTGGACTAAGCACTGTTATTAACATCTGCTGCTTGCAATTACTGCAAGTTCAAATCTCACCAGGCTCAAGGTTGACTCAGCCTTCCATCCTTTCAAAGGTAGGTGAAATGAGGACCCAGATTGTGGGGGCAATAAGCTGACTTTGTATAAATATACAAAAGTATGAAGGCTATTGCTTAACGCATTGTTAGCCGGCCTGAGTCTCCGGAGAAGGGTGGCATATAAATTAAAAAAGCAAAAAAAAAGCAAAAAAGCAAGCACAGGGGGGGTCGCGAGTGCATGCACGGGGGTGGGGCGCATTGAATTATGGGTGTGGGCACATGCACGCTCGGCCCCCCCATGACCCCCCTACTTTTGGTACGCGATGGCAAAAAGGTTAGCCATCACTGTCCTTCTACATGTTCCCTTGGCCAAAAGTACCCCACGCCAAATTCACATTTGGCAATCTATGGTTTCAGGCTTCTGAACCACATTGCAATCCAGAATGCAAGCAACAGGTTTGAGTCGTTTGGCCATTTCAAAGGGGAAGTTCTTTGCTCAGCTTGCAAATCATTCCATGCAATGGGTTTACCTTCAGGGTTTTCTATCAGTCCAGAGTCACACTTGCTTTCACACTGTTGCATGGATGAGGGCTTCAGGGCTTCCACACATTCCCCAGATGGTTGTCCTGTGTAGGTCACGCACTGGACAGAACGCCTCTGCTGGCCAAAACTGCACTGCCCAGAGCACTGCAGGAAAGAGTAAGGTAGATGCAGAAATTTGGCTAAATCAAAAGAGCAGATCTATTAGTTTGAGTTTGAAGCACAGCCCTTCAGCCTTTTGCTGTGCCTTGAGTGTTTCTCAACCTTCCCAACTTTAAAATGTGCATCTATGGAGATTCTCAGTCATCCTGGTCATGGTTGTCTCAAATATGCTTTTTTTTCAAAAGGCAACCGGAATATGTTTTTTTCCTTGAGGAAGAAGAAGACCTTTCGCTTATCATCCAAGAAGCTTCATCAGTTCTGACTGGATAGTGGGGGTGGGGGTGGTGGAAGGATTAGTTTTGGACTAATTCAGTTACTTTTGAAAAAAAAAAATGGACCTCAAAGGATTTCGTCTTAGATTAAAACCAATTAGTATGGCAGATCAGCTTTAGAATAGCATAGAATAGAATTTTTTATTGGCCAAGTATGATTGGACACACACAAGGAATTTGTCTTGGTGCATATCATGACATTTAGATCATGGAGTCTTTAACACTTTCATCACCATCCTTTCCTTGGCCCTTCCGATTCAAACATTATTAATCTCTGAATGCATAAAAAGGCTGATTTAGTGAACTTGCTTTGGCTTGTTTCCCTGAAAACATAACCATTCTTCAGTTATTTTTGAAAAACAAAAAAACAGACTCCCAACCAGTGGTGGGTTCCTCCCGGTTCGGTCCGGTTCAGCCGAGCCGGTAGCGGTGACGATATGACGTCACCGAACCGGTTCTCCCCCCCCCGCCCTCCCACCCCCCCACCCACGTTATTCTTACCTTTTATTTGGTCCCACCCCCAATCTATTGCTGCCTCCTGAGTCCCAGCTGATGACTAGAGGGAAAAAACCTGTTTAAACTCTTGCCGCGGGGCTTCAAAGGGCCGTCCTACAGCTGATCAGTGTTAAAAGCAAACAAATGAGTCGGGTCGTAAGTGCAAGGACTGGTCGTAAGTGCGAGGACCTTCCAGAAACGACTCTGACCAGCTAGCCACGCCCACCTAGTCACATGACCTCCAAGCCACACCCACAAAATAAGCCACGCCCACAGAACCGGTAGTAAAAAAATTTAGAACCCACCCCTGCTCCCAACATGCAGTGTGTTGCCTCTTGACCAATTCTTCACTCACTAAAATTGTAGTAGAAAAATAAACTTTGTGTACCTCTCCCCATTCGCCAGTGACCCACCGTGGGGGTGGGCAGCGCCGAAGACTGCACCTTATGGTGTTTGGGGGTCTGGAGCTCTCGGGACACTGGGAGGTAGACAGCGTGGCACGATGGTCGCCACTTTTGCAAAGGACAACGCGATGACGGAAACCAGGTCCACAACTTGGAGTACACTACAAGGAAGGAAAAAGTTGGAATTCACTGATTGGTTGTGATTTATTGCAATTCCCATGCTGTTTTACAGCCTCTGGGGTGATGGAAAATAAATCGGTTAAATCATCTTGGGTGTGGATGTTGTGACTTTGCAGTGAGTTTGGCAGAAAGTGGAATCCAACGTTTTTTGTTTTTTTTTGTTTCCCGTTGGAGCCAGCAAAATTATTTTATAACACAAACAGTGGTAATAATGAACCTAATGTCTAGTACACTTGGCACTTGAGGAGATCTCAGAGGTTTTCCAGAAGTTATTTATTGTTTATTCATTCGATTTATAAGTTGACTTTCTTCCAAGACATCTAAGTAACGTACAATGTTCTCCCTCTCCAAATGTTTCTTCACGATAACTCTCTAAGAGAATTTGGGCTGGGAGAGAGAATGGATGCCCCAAAGTCATCTGAAGAACTTTATGGCTGAGGATGGACTTGAACATGGATCAACACAGTCTTGGTCCAATAAATTACGTCAGTGGTTCTCAACCTTTTCTTCACCATGGACTCCATGGACACCATGGACTTCATCTTGGATATTGGGTCTGGACCATGGCCTGGACCCTCAAGACTTAACTCAAGATTTAAATCATAACATTTCTTCAAGCCTTCATGGACCCCCCCTGTGATGACATCGCAACCTTCCCAGGGATCCGTGGATCACAGGTTGAGAATCACAGTCTTATGTACATCATCTGCTTCAATCCCAAGCACTTTAGCTATTACTGGAGTTATGGATGGTAACCATGGTGTATGCAGGGGAGAGTTTCACTTACCTTTACCACTGACGAAAGAAAGAAAGAAAGAAAGAAAAAGAAAGAAAGAAAGAAAGAAAGAAAGAAAGAAAGAAAGAAAGAAAGAAAGAAAGAAAGAAAGAAAGGCTAAAATTGGAAGGTGCCAGACTGAGAAGGCCTGAAGAGAAGCTCATTACCTCAGACCAATCAAGGGTTACCCATTCTGGAGGACAGGTGTGATTATTACAGGGTTCCAGCACATGAGGCCGTGGCAAGTTGCAAGAGGAATCATCCAGAGTTTTCTCATCTGTGGTGGAGATTTTGCGCTGACAGATCACGCTTCGGGTCCGCACTCCCTGATTGCAACTGCGGCTGCATTCGGACCAGTTCCCGATCACCCAACTAGTTGAGATGGGAAACAGAAAGCAAAATCTTTCTTCGAGACCACCTGCTGCTACCGACGACCTCCCACAGAGGTCCCGTGCGCTCCCACAGAGAGGGCCTCCTCAGGGTGCCATCAGCCAATCAATGTAGGCTGGTGATCCCCAGGGGGAGGGCCTTCTCTGTGGGGGCACCTACCCTCTGGAATCAGTTGCCCCCAGAGATAAGGAGAATCCAAGACCTCAGTGCCTTCCGCCGTGCCCTTAAAACCCACTTTTTCCAGCAAGCCGGGCTGGCTTAAGAAGAAATTTTAAATGTTTTAATTGGTTTGTATTTTTAATTTCGGGCCAAATTTATATATATTTTAATTGTTTTTAATATTTGTATTTCATGTTTTTTAATTCTGGCTGTACATCGCCCTGAGTCCTCAGGGAGAAGGGCGGTATATAAATTTAAAAATAAAATAAAATAAAAATAAAAAATAAGGGCATGGCTAACATTAATCCTGCCAAAATTTGAAACTCATCGGCCCTGTTGCCATTCCACTTTTGATAATGTAATCAGAGGTGGGTTCTTTACTACCGGTTTGCAACAGGGCTGCGTCCTGATGACGTCAGGGTCAGTGGGCAGAGCTTCACGCTGGTGTTATTACCGGTTCTATAGGTCCAAACCGGGGGTAACCCACCACTGAATGTAATGGGAGACAGTGTGTGATGGGCACTTCAAAAAGGTGCTAATTGACCTGATCAACTATCTCCCGCAGTCTTAAATTGAGCTTTAAACAAAGCTCTTCTAATCTTCATTTAATTTCCCTGGCTACCTGAGGTAATGCATTCTGCTCACTGTGAAGGTACACAACACATCCTTGTCTCGAGATTCACTTCGTACAGGTAGTCCTCTACTGTCGACCACAATTGAGTCCAAAATTCCTGTTGCTAAGCGAGACATTTGCTAAGTGAGTTTTGCTCCATTTTATGACCTTTCTTGCCACGGGGGTTAAGTGAATCACAGCAAGTTGTTATTAACACGGCTGTTAAGTGAATCTGGCTTCCCCATCGACTGTGCTCGTCAGAAGGTTGCAAAAGGTGATCACATGACCCCAGGACACTGCAACTGTCATAAATACATGCCAGATTCCAAGTGCCCGAAATTTGATCACAGGAAGCTGCAACTGCTCCATTTTTGCTGGCAGAGCGCTGCAGGAGGCTGTCGCAGCCGAAAACGGAGCCTGGGAGGGGTGACCCTGACATGAGTGGCCACACCCACCTGGCCCCCGAGGTCAAACACAACCCTGATGAGGCCCTCAATGTAATCGAGTTTGACACCCGTGCTCTAGGTTGTTGTTTGACCCTTCCATTTTTGTATATGCATATTCAACATATATTCTCTTTCCCTTGCTGCTTTGTCCTGTATAGCACCCACCCTTAATCCTCAGTCCCTTTTGAAAAGAGCTCCTGCCCACCCCCCTCTTTAAATGCAGCCCTCCAAACACTGGAAAGAATTAAACTCACGCTGGCGGGCATGGCTCAGTGTTACATGGCCGCTGCCTCTCCGGTAGCTTGGTTTCAGGGTTGCAGAAATGATTGAGCACCGTGGAGCTGTCAGCTTGATTCCTGCATACAACGGGTTGAACTTGACTGCCTGTGGGGTGATGGGGGAGGCTGAGTGAGGATGCAAAATCTCCAACATTAGAAAACGGTAGGGTTTTCCCCCCCTTTCTTTCAATATCCGGAACATCTCCTAATCAAATAATAGGCATTTGAAGACCAGAGAATAACTTGTCCAATCCCAGAATATTATTTTTAAAGGTCTGCAGACAATGAGTATTGTGCTATAAAGGGGACACAAATACATTTAGTTGGGTAGATCTAAAGTTTCTGAGAAACTAATATTAATTCAAGTTTCTAGATTTCTAGAAGAAACTCAAGACTGCCCCACCTTGATTTACAAGAGAGGGGAAATATTTTTGCGAAGCCATCATGTTTCAGTCATTATACCTGTAACTATTGTTACAGGTAGAGTTATTATTTTAAAGTGCTGACAAAAAGAGACTGGAAATGGTTGATGGTTTAACTGGTCTTCCTGTCCTTCTCAACATTTGGATTAGATGATCCTTATAGTTCCTTACATATTTGATTCTGTGATTTTAAGTATTGGCTGTCTTCCAATGACTCATCAGAATATTCTTAATATAGACACAGAACTTGTAATACACGCTATAATAAACAAACCCAAAGCATTGAGAACAAAACTGAAAGCAGAACTGGCTAAAATGGAGATAGGAATTACTTAGTGCATGAAGATGGAACGGAATAATTAAATAAATTCAAAGACAGCATTATGACATCCCAAGAAAAATGAAATAGATAGACATGAAGATATTTTCCAAGCTAGATGAACCAGGGTTTTGGCACATACTATTGAAAAATATGCCCATGTATGTTTAATACACCATATGGTTAATATCGACTGCATGCCCTTTGGCATTTTGCTTCTGAAGTGTTTTATCATATTATGTAATAACTGGTGGAAATACATGGTGTACGTGAATATTTGTAGGGTGTGTCACAGAGGAAGAACATATATAAGTTTAAACCAGCATTTAAACTTTTATACCACTTCATAGTGCTTTATAGCCTTCACTAAGTGGGCCATGGAATTGCGAACAATGGGTGCATTGAACTTGTATCGGATCCTCTGCAGTTCTTCTCGCACAAGAACCTATAACAATAGACAGGCAACAGTATCACAAAACTGTTGAAAGAAAAGGATCATATACGACCATTTACTGCAGGAGGAAATGAGAGGTCAGAGGTTTTATTTTAAATTGTTTCTTCTATTCAGTGTACATTTGAGGCCTCAACAACTATGCTATTACATTGCTCTAGTGATCCCATTCAAATAAAGATCACCTTCTGGATGTGAAAACATACACATAGCCAAATGCATGAGGGCAACAAGGAGTTGATATTATTAAATACGGTAGTTATGTGTGTGCATCTAGATGAACACACATTACATTTCTGGCCTGTGAGCTGTGCTGGCTACTAGTTTGCTGCCAAGTTCAATTCAAGATGCTGGTGATGATTTATAAAGCCCCACATGGCATGGGGCTGGGATATTTGAGGGACTGACTCACCCCAATCACACCTGTCCCATCAGGTCTGGCAAAAAAGCGCATGTGGCAGGTCCCAACCTTGAAGGAATGTCACCTGAAGGGACCCAGGAAGAGTCTTTTGTGTTGCCTCACCTGCTCTTTGAAACATAAATCCCTTGAGGTCACATTGACCCTGACCTTATTGGCTGTAATGGTATGTGGAAATGACCTTGGGGCAGTCGTGGGATTCAAATTTTTTTTACTACCGGTTCTATGGGCGTGGCTTGGTGGGTGTGGCATGGCTTGGTGGGCGTGGCTTGGTAGACATGGCAGGAGAAGGATACTGCAAAATCCCCATTTCCTCCCAATCAGCTGGGACTCGGAAGGCAGAGAATAGATGGGGGCAGGGCCAGTCAGGGGTGGTATTTACCGGTTCTCCAAACTACTCAAAATTTCCACTACCAGTTCTCCAGAACTGGTGAATCCCCACCTCTGCCTTGGGAACAGGGGGAAGAGTTGATGAATAGGAATGGTCAGATAAAAGAGGGTATATCCCACAGCTGCATAATGGGCAGAGGAAGAAGCTCAGAAGGGACCCCCCCCACCTACAGTTCTCAGACTGTGAAGGAAATGGTGGGAGATTTGTACTTTCAAACTTGTAAACATTCATATCAGCCTTCCCAGGCAGAAAACATGGCCAGATGAGTTAATGCTACTTTACTGTAAGATTGCATTAATGGAATCTTGTAAGTTTGGTAGTACAAATCTCCCACTCTCTCCTTTAACAGCCTGTGAAAAAATTTTTTGGTGGAGTGGGGTGGGAGGCTTCTGAACTTTTTTTTCTGCCCATTATGCAATTGCAGGCAATGCCCTCTCTTAGCTGACCATTCCTTGGGCAGCAGTAACTCTTCCCCTTTCCTCCGAAGGTCATTCCCACATATCATTACATTGGCCTTCTGATAAGAGGCTGAAGATCTGGCTTTGGCATTTGGCCTGGGGATCCAGTGATGCTGGGTGGCTGTACTGTTAGGAAAACCTCCCTCACAGATTGTAGTTTTTACAGTTTTAAAAGTTTTTATTGGGTTTTTTTTTAAATGTTTTAGTGACTTTCAGAGTTATAATTTTGGTGCTTTCTTTTTGTATTTATAACTTTGTAAGCCGCCCAAAGTCACAGAATTAAGATAGGTGGCTCTATGAATTTAACAAAGGAACGAATAGATTAACAGCTACAGATGGGAAATATACTGCATACTAATCGCAAGGCAATCTATCTTATCTCCTCAGTGATCTTTATAAAAATGTTGTGGCTCCATCCTCCGAGCCTATCTTATCGGAGGGAAAAGGCTCCAAACATGAAGAAGAGGAGTCGGCCAGGCCTCCCTCTCCAGGCTCCTCCTCTCTGGCACTGCCTCAGGTGCCGGCCGAGGAAGAGGAGATTAGCCAGGAGCCAGGTGTCTCCGATGATAGCGATGGAGGCGATCTGTCGTTCCTGGATCCATGCCAACGAAGGCGTGATAAACGGTTGCAGCAGTTGAGGCGTGCCAGGGATTAGGCTGAGTCACTGGACCACACCCCAGAGACTATATAAGAGAGTGTGGTGGCCATTTAAGACTCTGTGACGGACAAAAACTAACTCTGGCTAGTCACTTTGAACAACGCTTAAATCTGCCGAAGGTTTCTCGTTTTGAACTGGACGATTTGCAAACTGTGTGTATTTCTGTTTATCTGGTGAAGGGATATTAAGTAAAAGCACTTGGCAGTCGGTGTTCGTATTGCTGCCAAGTTTTTGATAACAAACTGTGCGTGCCAAGTGCTTCCTTTAACCCTCGGCTGGCTCTGTGTGTGTGTGTGTGTGTGTGTAGACGGGGACAGAACAAAAAATTAATCAGCTGCTCTGAAACAAATTTAAATCACTTGGGTAATTCTAGCCTGGAAAAAAGGACCATGTTAATGAGCAGTTCCTCATCTCTTTCACAATTTAAATTCATCAAGTGAGGAACTCTTGCTCAACTTGAGTAAAGCTTTCTGTCATATTAATATTTCCTTTTCCCATCACTTGTTTTGGCCCAACATTATAACTAACCATAACAATCAGGGTGATGTTACTTGGGCCTAGGGCCTCGAGAGACTCTGCTTCATCCTGAGAGCGCCCGTAGTGGAATGTGGTTCCGGCAATGTCAAAGCGCCGGGGAGGGTCGATCGAAAGTTTCCCGTTGACAAAATATTCATCATTTTCTCCTTTCAGAGCTGGAAGAAGAAGCCAAAAGAAAGTGTTTGAAGCTGATGGGCTGTCTGCTAAAACGAAGCAAGGCCAGTGGTGGGATTCAGCCAGTTCTATCCGGTAGCGGCGACTGTGGTAGACTCCGCCCACCCGGCCAGACGTAATGCCGCCTTGTTTTGCCACGTTTTGGACGCTGCGAGCATGCGCAGAAGGCGTACACGTAAGCAAAAAGCATGCATGGAAGGCCGAGCATGCATGGAAGTCGCGCGCGCTCACATTTGCGAACCGGTAGCGAAGGTAAGTGAATCCCACCTCTGAGCAAAGCCGTGGCATGCACTTGAAAGAAAACTGGGAAGCCTGTAATTGCAGAGTCTGTCCGGCAAGAACAAAGAATGCTTATTCACAGAGAATATGCACGTGTCACATTTGCATTGATTCTAGGTGGTTACAGGACTGATAACAGTATCAAAGACATCCTGCATAGCTCAGCTAGAAGTTAGGAATAGGGATGGCTTGGAGCAAATAGAATGCTGGAGCGTTCATTAGGCAAGGCTTAGGAATAGGGATGGTTAGAGGTCAATAGGACAATGGTTAGATCATTACTAAAATGTTCATTAGATGATTTGTTTTATATATCCCGCCTTATCACGCCTTCCGCTTTAGTGAAAATGTATAAACCTTTCTTAATTCTATTGTTCAAGGTTCCTTGGCATTTTCTAGCCAGGACCCCTTTTCTTGGAGCGCTTCAATAAAAGGAAACAAAACCTGCACCTCGTGTCTGGTGGTCTTCATCGGCTTCGGCACCAGGCTCAGACCCGAATTGAGGACAACAAAGCCAAGCCTCGGACAAATGAAACCATATGGAACACGCACCCTCCCACCTTGCAATATTAGTAATCCGATCACTAATGCTCAGAGCCTACATTTGGGGAAGCAGATCTCTCCTGATGCCTAAGGCTTGTGCAGACAAGCAAACTGCAGGGAGGAACAGCAGCAGCCGTGGTTCAGGAACTGGCAGGTTGTATTGTATTCTGTGATAGGACTATGTGGTTTAGGCTGCAGGAATATCAATAACCACTAATGGCAGCAAAGAATTACAGTTTTCTGAATCTCTTTGCTACCATCTAGTGGTTGCCCTAGGTGCAATGGTGGGATTCAGCCGGTTCGCACCAGTTCAGTAGAACCGGTAGCTAATTTTTTTTGCTGAGTTCGGCGAACCGATTAGACGTGTTCTGGAAAATCAACTTCCTTCCAGGCAGAAAAAAAACCCCTCCCCAAATTCCCAGTGATGGGATTCAAGCCCGGTGGCAGGGCGGGTCCCACCGCCTCCACAAAGGCTGAGCTACTTCTTTACCGGAGTGTATCAGCCCCACAGCTGACCCTGCACGTGACTTCAGGAACTGCTTGTCCTGGCCGGGCCCTGCAAGCTTGCAGAGTGCAGAGGCTGCACCCCTTAGGTAGCAGCGAGGGCTCTCCAGCAGAAGCAGGGGGCACCTTCCTTGGGGGAGCCGGGCTAAGTGGGGGTGGCCTTGCAGGGCTTCTTCCTCCCTTCCTCAAGATGAGGCCGAGCGAGAAGAAGGACTTGGGCATGTTGGGTGAGTTGGGCGCTTGGGATGGCGTCTGTGCAAGACCTTCTAGGACCCCCTTGAATCTTCTCTGGGAACTCTTTCCAAGCTCCTGGATTTGCAATGCATGTTGTATAGGGTGGAGGAACACAAACACACACACACACACACACACACTGCAAAATGGTTATTAGGGCAGAGAACCGATTGTTAAATTATTTGACTCCTACCCCTGCCTTGGTGGCATGCACTGAGGCTGGTAGCTGCATTACTTTTTTTTTTTTTAATTTGATTTATATGCCGCCCTTCTCCGGAGACTCAGGGCGGCTTACAATGTGCTCAGCAATAGCCTTCATCCTTTTGTATATTTTATACAAAGTCAGCTTATTGCCCCCACAACTGGGTCCTCAATTTACCTACCTTAGAAAGGATGAAAGGCTGAGTCAACCTTGAGCCTGGCAAGATTTGAACCTGCAGTAATTGCAGGCAGCTGGTCTTAATAACCAGCTTAATAACAGGGTGCCTTAGATCACTGTACTACCAAGGCTCTTCATAGTCTCTTCTGCTCTGCCCATCCCCATAGTGCCAACCTAAGAAAAGTCTTAGGTTCTTTATGGGCATGCATCAGTAAACCACAACCAGGGTTAGGGCTAGGATGAGATATTAAAAATTACAATACAATATCAACTGAGGGTGGAACTTCGTTCTCGGAGCTTGTTGGTTGGTTTCTGAACGTTTCATTAACAAGCTAGGTAATATCTTCAGTGGAATTTAGGGAATGTCAGTGTCGGTGTTCTTCTGCTTATAAGAGCTTCGTGTTTAAGTCTCATGATGGTGAGGTCACGTCAGGTGAGGGTCAAATCAGGTCATGGTCTTGTGATGGGACAGGTGTGGGATATGTCAAGTGAGAGTCTTGTCATAGGTCAGATGTGGGTCCCTTACACCTCACCTTGTGAAGTTTCCGAAAGATGCCCTAATTAATTCATGAGCCATGAGCCGAACTTCAAAAGAAATACAGTCATTTATTAGGAGCACCATTTCGGCAATATTCGGATGCAGTTAGAACTAATCCCACGTAGATTTACGTTCCCCTATGACCCTGTCTCTCCCCTCCTCTCTGGCCATGTCATAAATCACATTCTCCAATTAACCACTTTGGCTGGCTGTGAAATCCAACACCCTCCTTCTGATTGCAGTTAGGAAGCATGTATGGAATGCACTTCAGTTAGGGAAATCAATAAGCTCTATCAGTTCTCCCTCCCTTCTGCTCATGGCAACTTGAAAGCTTTGCAAGTTGACATTCGGCTCCCCTAACTTGTGACCCACATTTGATCCATCATAAGACCCTGACCTGATGTGACCCTCATCTGATGTGACCTCACCATCACAAGACCTACTGACCACATGAAGCCCGTATAAGCAGAAGAATACCAACACTGACATTCCCTAAATTCCGGCTGAAGATGTTACCTGGTCTGGTAATGAAACGTTCAGAAACCAACCAACAAGGTTGGAGAACGAACCTCCACCCTCATCCTCCACCCGAGCTACAGATATTTGCCGCTATTGCAAACAATGTCAACTTTTTAAAGAAGAAAAAAAAGAGGCCCTACTTTGATCCTTCAGATCGTGTTTTTCTATTTTTTAAATATTTGTTACTTGCTGTGAAAGGCTGACAAATTAAGCAAATGGGCAAAATAACCTCCAGATAAGCAAGAGTTTCTCCTTAGCACATTCTGAAGTACAGGAAAACTGGTAGAGACAGAAAAGAATTGCTGGGGAACATCTACAGAAAGTCATTTCGAGAACATAAGACCTAAAACTTTTCCCAGATAATACAAACTTCTCACCAAGATAACTCAGAGAATGGTTAAGTTCCCGAATATCAATGTGGACAGATCCTTTGGGAATCAGTATCACCTCCTCATAGCCTGAAAAACAATGTTAAGAACAGAGTGGGGAATTTATAACCAAGTATTTACTTACTGGAGTTGCATCAAATATGCAAATTTTACACAGGGTAATTTTACATAATCTTGCAGATAATTGCGCTGGGATTGTGACTCTCAGAATATACAGCAACTGTGGTCTGAGGAACTGAAATTAGTTCTCTGCATCTTAGTAACATTGTTTGGGTAACTGTGAAGTTTTCTTCAACCTGATGCCCTCCAATTACATTGGAACAGCAGCTTCCAAAATTACCTTTATCTTGGCTTTGCAGTGCACTTTAAGCACATCTGGAGGGCACCAGGTTGGATAGGTATTTTTTATTCTAACTGGCCATGATTTACAAAAAACGTTCCATTCTCTATTACTTGATTTTTTTAAAAAAATGGAACCTAGATCTGGAATTTTATGCACGTAAACTGTCAACACAATGATTGAGTTATAGACTATGTTCACACAATATGCTAGGCTAGGCTAGAAAAAGAGATTGATGTCTATAGAGATTCTCAATCATCCAGATCATGGTTGTTTTAAAGGTGCTTTTCCAAAAAGGCAACTGGATTTCCTTGTTTTTTCCCTCAAAAGCATTTCACTTGTCATCCAAGAAGCTTCTTCAGTTCTAACTGAATGGTGGGGGATGGAAGGATTTATATTCTTTGCAGTCATTTGGTCGTTAGCACTCTTGAGAGTCGTTGAGGCCACTTGGGAATTTATCTGTACCCTCAGGGCCACCTGAATCAGAGTGCAAATGGGTGTGGGACCTTCTTGGGACTGCTGAAAGACAGGAGATAGGTAGTCCCTCTCCCTCTGTTGAGAGAGGGCCAGGGGTGGGCTCCTGGAGGTTCGGCAGAGTTCGGGCGATCCTCTAGCCAAGGATTGTCGTGGTTCGGTGAGCCCCCAAGTGCCACCCCTGGCTGGCCACACCCACCCTGCCCCACCCCTCCCCTCCCCTCCCAGGAGTCTCCACGCAGCCCATTCATCATTCCAGGTAAGTGCAGGGGCTGCGCGGAGGGTCTTGGAGGGCAAAAAATGGGCCTACCGGAGGTTCTGGAAGTCCGGAAATGGGCCTGCTTCCAGCCTCCGGAGGGCCTCCGGATCCTGGGGGATGCAGTTTTTTGCCCTGGAGCCTGGGAAAGCCTCCGGAGCCTGGGGAGGGTGAAAATGCCCCCCCCGCCGGGGTGCAGGCAGCCAACTAGGCCACGCCCACCGTGGCCACGCCCACCCAGCAACGGGGTAACGAACCTGTTGCTAAAGGATCTGAAGCCCACCCCTGGAGTGGGCTGTTCAATTTTAACATAGATGGCCACTTCGACCCCTCTAAAAAGAGGTTGGGTAGTTGTGATTGGGTAGTTGTGATTAAATGTACCGTGGGAATCCAATCACAGTGTTAATACATTGTGTTAATCTGGTCATAATACTAAATTGTAATATGATTTAATTTTGGGGGCACAACAAGTTATGTGAATTTAGGAAGTGTTTTCTTAAATCCTAGTTTAGGATACCATATAAACTCAGAAGGGGGCAGAAGGGACTGACCAAAACAACTTTTCCTTCCCCATTTCCAAATGAGAGTCTTATAAATGTGGTTAAGATTTGTCAAGATGAAAATAGAATCTAAACCACAATTTAAATGTGTACATCTACATTATTTAGTGATTACACACACAAGTAAGTTGGACATTAATTTAGCCAGCCAAGCTTTGTCTTTCGCCAAGTTTTCAGAGGAACAGACCAAAATATTTTTAAATGCACAGTGTCTATGTTTATGTTGTTGCTCATTTGACCATTTCTGCATTATCATTGCAATCATCCTTGAAGACGTATTTTAAAAGTTGAAAAACACCCCTTGCTTGTGACAAAGGGCATGTGACGTTCCAGATACTGGCCATTGAGTGTTGTTTACAAGCAAAACATCCCAATTCAAACTCAGTGGGTGTTCATTTTTTCGATAACAATTTTTTTCTCTCAAAATAGAAGTATCTTTGTGTGAAATGATGCCAACTCTGCTCGTACAGCTCTCTCATTGTTAAACCTACTGAGTCAGAAAGTCATCCTCACCTCCATCAGGCAGTGAATGGTTGAAGATCCCTTCGATGGTTTCACAGGTGGTCCCATCTCCTCCACAAACCCGGCATTTGTCCTCCTTAGTATCTGAGCCTAAGACGCGGTCACAGCCCACATGCTTATGAGAAATAAATGGAAAATGTTGGTGGATCTGGTGCTATCACTTTAATAGCTTTCCTGTTAGTTCCTCTAAAAACCTAAAATGCTCCTCAATCAGATAAAAAAAAAATACTCCTCTTATTTCCCAGTGGCCATACAGATGCTGCCAGGAAGCCTATATAACCCTTCTTTGTTGTTCGACGCTAAATCTGCCTCTTAAAAATATTTTTTGTGAATTGTGTCAAAGCGCCATCAGGGCACCTTCAAAAGTTCACAGGCATGGGATAAAGGCAACTGCCTTTCCTGTGGCTGTTTCTCTACAAATACTACCAACAAGAATCTTGGTGTTTTTAAGATGATAAATAGTTCATGATAGATCTCTCTCTCATCAATTTGTCTCATTATAGCAATAGCACTTAGACTTATATACCGCTTTACAGTGCTTTTACAGCCTTCTTTAAGCCCTTTACAGAGTCAGCGTATTGTCCCCAACAATCTGGGTCCACATTTTACCCACTTTGGAAGGATGGAAGGCTGAGTCAACCTTGAGCCGGCGAGATTTGAACTGCCGAACTGCAGCTAGCAGTCAACTGAAACAGTCTGCAATACTGCACTCTAACCACTGCGCCACTGCGACTCTTAATTATCTTTTATAGCCACCTGAACAAACACCATGAATATATCTTGTGCCAGTGAATTCTATTGGTTGATTCTCCAATGGAGAAGCTATTAATGCACCTAATTGTATTCTTACATTTGCCTCCAAATTAAGTCCAGAAGTAGCATACAAAAACTCCTTGACTTACAACCGGTCGCTTAACAACTCTTTGAAGTTGCAACAGACCTACTTTGGGGGTACTTACAACCTGGATTTGAAGTTCTGATGGCTACCACCTTACAGTCACATGACTGCACTTTGGGCTTTCAGCAACATTTATGGCCATTTGCAGAATTCCCCGTAGTAACACACCTGCTTTTATGACAGTTTTACCAAAACCCAGAATTTACTTCCAGTTTTCAGCAAAAGGAGCCGCTTAGCAAATCACTAGTTTGCTTAATGACTTTAAAGTTAACAACCGTTGCAAAAAAGATTATAAAATCAGATTGATCATGATCTACGACTGTCGTGACTTACGACTGTGATCGGCAAGCTCCATTATGGTCGTAAGTCGAGGACTACCTGTATTGCGCTGGAGCAATAAGCCGAGAGTACTGTGCGGGCAGGAAATACCAATGGTTTGAGTAACACACGGTCACCTTGCACTCTCCGCTGACGCAGATGTCATGGGAGTCCTGGCGGCAGGCCGTTCCATCAATCACAGCTGCAGCCCTTTCTGTGTAGAAGTTAAAACCTTCCGCCAAACAGTTGAGTGAACAGGACTTGACACCACCTGCAAGCCGGGAATTCATTCACACGAGTTCATTAGAGGCTGGATTGCGGAATAGCACCTTTACTGAGCGCAGAATGAATCTTTACCTAATTAACCCAAAAATGTGCATTTGTGATGTGTTGTGGCACAGGTCCCAAGCCTCTTCCTCAGCCAGAGCCATTGGATATGTGATGGGGAAGCTGCATTTTTTGTACCCAGTATCACACACCGCCTTCTGTGGGACAAGGTGATTTATGTACATTTTTTTATATATAGCTTGCCAAATTCTGTGCCACAAGAAATAAAACTGAGGACTGGTTTGGTGTAGTGGCCAAGGTGCTAGGCTGGAAACTGGAATCGGATACTATACCATGCTTCCCCGAAAATAAGACCCTGTCTTATATTTTTTGGACCCCGAAATAAGAGCTTGGCCTTATTTTTGGGGAGGTCTTATTATTTTGGGGCGCATGGAGCAAGATGGGGCTCCTCTTGCCATCTTACCTGATTTCCAGCTCTGCGTTTAAATATTTTCGGGGAGGGCTTATTTTCGGGGGAAGGCTTATTTTAGCGCATGCACTCAAAAGCCCGATTGGGCTTATTATCAGGGGATGTCTTATTTTTGGGGAAATAGGGTAGTTACAGTCCTCCTTTAGGCGTGAAAGATATGAGTTTGGGCCAGTTATATTCTCTCAGCTCAATCAACCTTATTATGAAGAAGATAGGAGACTGGAGTATTTGGCATATATACTGCAGTGTTGGCAAGTTGAGTATGTATGGACTTCAACTCCCAGAATTCCATATGACTGGCTGGGATTTCCGGAAGTTGAACTCCACACATCTTCAACTTGCCAAAAATTGAGAATCATTGGTACAGGTAATCCTGGACTTACAACAGTTCATTTAATGACCATTCACACAGTTACAACGGCACTGAAAAGAGTGACTTATGACCATTTTTCACACTTACGATCGTTGCAGCATCCCCATGGTTACATGATCAAAATTCAGAGGCTTGGCAACTGGTTCATATTTACGACCGTTGCAGTGTCCCCGGGTCATGTGATCCCCGTTTGTGACCTTCTGACAAGCAAAGTCAACGGGGAAGCCAGACTCACTTAACAATCCTGTTACTAATTTAACAACTGCAATGATTCACTTAACAACTAAGTAGTCATAAAATGGAAAAAACTCACTTAACAAATGTTTCGCTTAGCCACATAAATTTTGGGCTCAATTGTGGTTGTAACTATATACTGTTTTGGGGAAAGGAAGGAAGGAAAGGATTTTATTCTGCTAGCCATTGCTGACTGTAGGGGGTGACATAACGTCTCCATTTTGAGGCCATTGAGCCAAAGTTTTCCAAAGACCTTTCCACAGTTATGTGGCCAGCGTGATGTCGCGGAGCGCTGTTCCCTTCCCACTGAAGTGGTACCTATTTATCTACTCACATTTGCATGCTTTTGAACTGCTAGGTGGACAGGAAGTAGGCGAAGATGGGCACTCACCCCATTGTGTGACGCTCGGGTCATAGACTGCTTTGAGGTGGCCAAAAATAATGGTAGAATTAAAACTGGTTAAATTCTCCCTAGAGTCCTAGTAGGCATTGGAGGTGGAAAGCTATGTTAGTAGCCAAAAATCAGGACTTTGGTGTAACTTTTCAATTGTTAATAAAATGATGCTACCAGATTACGGATTCTGGGAGTCCTAGAAATCTCCAAGATATGTAACTATAAAAGATAAGTTATCCATAATCGTTCTATCTCAAATATTCCACTCTGAATTTAACTTTTGAGTGGGATTTAAGCAATGGACGTAACAATATACAGTATTTTCAAAGAAGTCTTATTGCTTCTTGGAATCTCTGGGCTGGCCTCTTTCCAATCTGCCTCTGCTCAAAATATATTATTCTATCCTGTTCTGCCCTAATAAAATTTAATTACTGAATCATTCCTGAACCAGAGGAATGATACACCCTCTCATCAGGCTGGCTATTATTTTTCTATATGAGTCCTTGTAGTAAAATCCAGAGAGGTGTTCTAATCATGAGTCATTCAAAAGCCCTAGAAGCCAGATCTTACAAGTTGATCAATTCTTGTTAGTTTTCTAACAGGAAACATTTTAAAGTTGATCATGGAAATTAATCTATAGGAGAAAAGGACTGTTAGGTGTCAAAGGTTATATGATGAGCACTTGCAAATGGTGATTTTCTCTGCCTTAGGCAGCATGTTCCCTACTGATAATGTATTATTGAATGTGCCACATGATAGCAGTGTTCTAATATCTCAGGGGCTGCTACAAAGAAGAGTGGGTCAACCTATTCTCCAAAGCCCCTAAAGGCACAACAAGAAGCAATGGGTGAAATCTAATCAAGGAGAGAACCAACCTAGAACTAAGGAGAAATTTCCAGACAGTGAGAACAATTAATAAGTTGCCTCCAGAATGGTGCTTATCACTGGAGGCTTTCAAGAAGAGGTTGGACAACCATTTGTCTGAAGTGTTATAGGCAGTGGTGGGCTGCCGCCAGTTCGGGTGAACCGGTAGTTCTGACAATCAGCTGGCCCCGCCCACCCGCCTCTGCTCTATCCTGTCCTCTATTTCCTTCTTTCTGGCTCAGCTGATATACGCGGCACAGCTGATTTCCGTACCTCTGCTGTTCTTCTTACCGGGACTGCCTTAGAAGGTAAGTAGCTGAGCTTCAAATTGCTGTATTTTGAACGATGCGCGCAAGCGCGTTAGGCGCATGCACCCTCACAGAACCAGTTGTTAAACCGGTTGCAGCCCACCACTGGATATAGGGTTTCCTATTTTGATCGGGGGTTGGACTAGAAGACTTCCAAGATGGCTTCCAACTCTGTTATTCTGATATTCTGTTAATGTGAACAAGTCTTGATGTTTTGGTTGCTTCAGAAAACCCATTTGAATTTTTCTTCCTTGTTTTAGAAGAGTTAAACTTGTGATCTAGTCATTTGATCTAGTCATTTGATCCTAAATTAAAGCAGCTATTTGCTGCACTAAAGATATATTCTGAGAATTGCTAGGGAAAATCCTTCTTAACACCCCCCCACCCCAAAAAAACCCCACCCCTTCACTTTCTCTTGGTCCTTTGGAATACACCACAATTTTACAACGTATTAGACATTAATTGGCATATGGATAGTGTGAGAGATTTTTGTGGCTGGCTTCATGCAATTAAGCAAAAAGAAATTTAGACTTAAGGGAATTTAGACTAAGATAAAATGAAGTTGGGGAATTTGTTGTTCAATATATTAAGACAACCCAGCCAGTCTTAACAAGTTGTGTAAACTAGGCCATCATGTTAAGCCATCACATGATTTGTTTATAGAGCCAAGCATGTTACACAAACCAAGATTACAAGGAACTGGAACTTTTAGAAATCTGCAGTCACACAAAGTTTGTGTGCTTATTGAACAGATGGTTGGAGCCTCTAAGAATATCTATCATCTCTAGATTCTAGCTGAACTCCATATATATCTGCTAAAAGATGGCCCCTCAGCAGGGCCTCTTTAGATTTCTCTACTGAATGGGAGAATTTTATTTCGGTGAGCTACTGCCTGATGTGCTGTATGTATAGGGCTTTTAAAGGTTATGCATTACTATTAATCTTCTCATTGTTCCTATCACCCATCTCCTCCCACTTATGACTGTATGACTGTAACCTTGTTGCTGGTATCCTTAAGATTTATACTGACTGTTTCCTTATGACTATCATTAAGTGTTGTACTTTATGATTCTTGATGAACGTATCTTTTCTTTTATGTACTCTGCGAGCGTATCCACCAAGACAAATTCCTTGTGTGTCCAATCACACTTGGCCAATAAAGAATCCTATTCTATTCTATTCTATTCTATTCTATTCTATTCTATTCTATTCTAGTCTAGTCTAGTCTAGTCTAGTCTAGTCTAGTCTAATGATTAGCCTTTAGAATTGGATGGAGGGGAGACATGGCTGACATCACGGCGAGATGACATGTCCTTTGGGAGCTCCCATGGGACCATCGAAATCCCAGCTGTCGGGTGGTCCTTTTTGAACCTGAATCCTAGAATCCTTGGTATCCTAGGGGCGATAAATGAGGGGAGCACACTCCGATGATCTCAGGGAGCCTACAAACTCCCTGATTGATCCAGAGAAAGCTTCCTAAACTGACAGCTGGGAAAGCAACCAGCCATAGCTGGTAGATCTAGTAGCCAACAATCAGATTAATCAAATCAAGGGATACCTTGCTCATTTCCTCTGATCCTGTTTGTGAACTTTTATGCCAAGAGAGCACCTGCCAGGCAATAGTCTTTTCTCATTAGACAGCCAGGCTGCAATGGATGAGGCTTTAATCTGCAGCTAATTAATGTTTGAGGGATGTGTTGATTGATGGGTGGAGCCAATCAGTATCCCATATAGGTAGTCTCAACTTGCAGCCATTCGTTTAGTGACCATTCAAAGTTGCAACAGCACTGAAAAAAATGACTTAAGACACTTATGCCGTTGCAGCATCCCCATGGTCATGTGGCCAAAATTCAGGCGCTTGGCAGCTGGCTCATATTTACGAATGTTGCAGTGTCTGAGATCATGGAATCACCTTTTGTGACCTTCCAACAAGCAAAGGCATTGGGGAAGCCAGATTCACTTAACAACTGTTTTGCATCCTAAACAACTGCAGTGATTCACTTAGTGTCAAGTATTTGCAAGCCATTGGCACATGTGTCATATAGACACCAGTGGAGGCAGAGAGTGTCTCCACCCCTATGTGGAAAGGAGGGGCTTACCCTATATAAAACCCCCTCCAACCTTTTCCACCTTGCTCTCTCCATCTCTTTCTTTTCACGTTTGTTCCTCGTGAGACTTGATCTCTGTTGTACATAGTTAATATGATTTATCATATGAATAAATATGTTTAAGACATTTATTTATGCATCTGCCTCTGAACTCTTCTATGCTCCTGGGTGTTTCTACAATCCCAATTCCACACTTAGCAACTATGGCAAAAAGATTGTAAAAACTCACAAAAAACTCACTTAACAACTATTGCTTAGCAACAGAAATTTTGGGCTCAATTGTGGTCATAAATTGAGGGCTACCTGTAGTTGGTTAGGATCCTGGATTTGCAGAAAATAGCTGATGGGAGGACTCACAAGTTCCCTGATATTATTTTGGGTTAAAAGTGCCCCCCTCCTCTTTACTAACAGAGTAACCAGGTATGTGCTACTCTCTGGACCCTGAACCGACCTGCTTAAGTGTGTTGTGTGAACCCTGGCTATTGTATCAGCAAGTGAAAGAGGAACCTCTTTAGCCTAGGAGAGTTAAAAACTGAAGTCATGCCTACAAATCTGAACGAGGAAAATTGATTGCATATCCTTCTGTCCCCTTATATTTTAAATTCATTTCAGCTCTGGCTTCCTGGAGTTCTACACTGCTCAGCTCCTTCAGAGGGTTAGCAGCTGAGAAACCTGGAGCTTATTAACAGATGTCTCAGAGGTGGTTTGGCTGAATGGCCAAGTCTGAGTGTTTAGCAAAAACAGATGGAAGAGTGGAAAGGAATCTCAGTTGGAAGGATATAAGCCAGGATATGCAGCTTTGGTGGGTTTTTTTTTTTTCCTTTTTTGGCCAAGGGCCATACTTGACCTTTGAGCCGTATGCCAAAGGTCTGGGACTTGTTTAAGGAACTAAGCATGTTTAAAGGAAAGTGACAAGAATGCTGGTAAATCAAGAAACCAAGCCCTGCAAAGAAAAAAAAAACTAGGAAGGTTAGCCTGCAGGACAGATAATTAAAGGAAAGCACAATACTGGTTTTTCCCGCCCAATTATTGTACCTTACTAGCCCTAAGGGGGACGATAACATGAATCTGGTTTCCCTGATTCCACAGAAGAACTAATGGGGAGAAGTGGCAGGGCAGCCATTGGGCTAAACCCAAAAATAACCTTTCTGTAAACTGTTTGACCCTGGAACAAGCTACTTTGAGAGAGGATGGCCTTTTCTTCTCTGCAGGAGTTTTAAGCAGAGGCTGTAAATTTGCCTGCCAAGAATGCTGAAGTTGCAAGATTTCGGCATAGAGCAGGGAACTGGATGACCTTCGAAATTCTTTCCAACATAAAAAATCCTACACAGTATATTTGGGTGGGCAAGCTCTCGGCAGCTGGATGTGGCACAATTTTTTTTCTTCAACTTTTCCTTAGCGGGGAATGAAAGCTGCAACAGGCTAGCCAGAAAATGTCCTTCCCCAGACGTTTTTAAGATTATCATGGAATAGCCGAAGGTTTTTGCCTCTTTCATTCCCTTGCAATATCCCTCTCCCCCTTTATCTGAAGAATTATAAATGCCTAGTTCCTGGGTGAAACATTATTTCCTCAGAACAAGCACCACAAGGACAGTATTTCTCAGTCTTGGTGGCTTTAAGATGTGTGGACTTTAATTGCAACGTGACAGCTGGGGAATTCTGGGAGTCCACACATTTTAAAGTTGCCAAGGCTGAGAAACACTGCTGTAGCATTTCAAAATCTGTTTTAATTACGTGTTATGTTTTTTTTTTTTTTTTGCTTCTTCATCCCGCAGCTCTTGTCCCAAAGGAATTAGCTGCAATAATCATTCACAGTGAAAAATCATCCATTTATTTATTTTTTTGGACAATCTTGCCTGTCTGAGTTTCTCTCCACAGCCTTTCCTGGGTCTTTTCTCCCTTGTTTCTATCTGCTGCCTTGTAGCTATTTCTATATTGAGGGTAGGGGATTGGGGAATGTGAAATTCCACACAATCTCTGAAAAAGCCTGAGCTGCGCAGTCCCCTTGTTGTGCCTCCTTTTGCAGTTGTAAATCAGAGTTGAAAAATAGGAGCTGCCTGGAAAAGCACCTGCCTTCCCTTTTTTTCTCTCCTGTCTATCTATGTCTCATTTTCTCTGCTATTTGCACAGCTGGATTAAAGCCAACTGATGCCTTAAGCAATAGCAACTGCTCACTACTCCATTGATTAACACAAGGTATTAAGATTCAGAGTGGTAAAGGTGAAATAAGTCATTAACATTTCAGTTTTCTCCTAGGCTATTTTCCGGGTTGGACCTCACAACTATATTAAATATAGACTTTTTATAAGAAAATTAACTCAAAATACGATAAATATAAGCCAATTATTTACTTATAAAGAGGGCGATAGAAAAAAGGCAATTCTTTAATCAATCTTGAAAGCATTTTTAAAGAACATTATGTCCTTCAAAAATTAGGAGGAGGCCACAGGACAAAATAGAATCCCAAAGCAATAAACAGATGAGTGAAAATTGATTTAACACTTCCAATAACTTTGTGTTTTTATTACTTCAATGCAATTGTACCCTGGAGGGCCACAAGGACATCTCATTTGGTCCAAATAAGGGAATTCATTTGTCAGTTAGACTGGCCTATAAGAATACAATATTCTGCAGTTGGCAGGAGTCAGATAGGATAAGGCATCCTTTCTTTACAGACCATGACAGAAGCCAGGCAATAGCTGTTAGATATGCTAATAAAGGAAAAGTTTTCTCCTGTCCAGGTGAGTCCAACTCTTGGGGGTGATGCTCATCTCCATTTCTTAGCCGAGGGCGCCATTATTGTCCGAAGACACTTATGTGCAGTGGTGGCTTGCCCCCGGTTCGAACCAGTAGTAAAACTGGCGGGAGGCCCCGCCCACCACCCCAGATGTCGTCATCAGTGATCTGCACATGTGCAGATGCCTCTGCGCATGCGCGATCCTGTTGCGAACCGGTAGTAAAGTTAAATAGAACCCACCCCTGCTTATGTGGTCATGTGACCAGCATGACTATATGCTGAGGCGCACAGAACTCTGTTATTGAAGTGGTATCTATTCATCTACTCACATTTACAGGTTTTTGGACTGCTAGATGGGCAGAAGCTAAGGCAAGTAATGGGAACTCACCCCATCAGGCAGTGCTTGGGTCTCCAACTCAGGCTGTCAGCTTTCCAGCTAACAAACTCAGCGTCTTTAACAGCTGAACCATCATGCCCCTTGCAAATATGTTAATAGGAGCTTCAACTCTGAGTGTTAAACTTTACACATCATGCATAAAACCCCAACCCAACTCAAAACCTTTCTAGGAAAAACACCTGCATGGAATTCTCACTGACTGTTGGAGAGAAAAATGGAAAAAGCAGAGATAGGATTGGAATAGGGTGCCCTGGAAACAAAACACAGTTGGCCAATTGTGCAAAAACACCCCACTCTGCAAAATTTTGTTAACTTCCACTTATATTAAGGCCATGCGGACGTTGAAACAGACTGTTGGAAAATGCTACACTTACCCCCTCGGTACGTCTTCCAAGTATAAAATTTGCCCCGAAAGGGGATGTGATCAAATTCTGCACACTGAACCTCTCGGAAGTCTTTTGACCCAGGAGGACAATCCTAAAGCAGGGTAAGAATCAAGGAAGAAAGGAAAATCCCAGGATTATTATCAACAGTTGGGTTTGGTTATGTCCACCAATGCATGGATGGTAAAGCTATTTCTGGCTCCTAATCAAAAACATCATGATGGTGAAATAAACATATTTGGTTGTTAGGATGGAGCTTAATCTTGAAATGTAGGGTCTACAGGAAAAGTGTTGGGTTTTTTTTGGCATTGAGATATATTCAAATAGAAAGTAAATCTATTTGTGACTCTTAACTAATAGATGAAAAAAATGCTACACACAGGAAGTCCTCGACTTACAACCATTTGCTTGTACAACAGAACTGAAAAAAGTGACTTACGACCAGTCCTTGCACTTACAACCGTTGTAGCCTCCCCATGGTCACACGATCAAAATTTGGGCGCTTGGCAACCAGCATGTATGTATAATGGTAGTAGCATCCCCGGTAGGGGTGAAATGTAAAATTTGTTACTACCGGTTCTGTGGGCGTGGCTTGGTGGGGGTGGGTGGGTAATGTGACTGGGTAGGCGTGGCCAACTTTTTTTTAAAAAAACTTTTCAAAGGATTTTTTCTAATGCTTTGAAAAGCCTCTGCCGATCAGGCAGCTCAGCTGGGATCGTCAGAGACTTTTCAAAGCATTTTTTTACCACCTCTTCGGCCAAGAGGTTGCAGAAAAAAATGCTTTGAAAAGCTTCTGACGATCCCAGCTGAGCCGCGCGACCATCAGAGGCTTTTTTTTTTTACTTTTAAAAGCATTTTTTCGTCGGAAGAGGTTGTAGAAAAAATGCTTTTAAAAGTAAAAAAAAGAAAGCCTCTGATGATCGTGCGGCTCAGCTGGGTATGGGGGGAGGGCCTGCAGGGATTTTTGCTACCAGTTCTCCGAACCACCCGCCGCCATCGCTACCGGATCAGGCGATCTGGTCCAAACCGGGAGCATTTCATCCCTGATCCCAGGGTTATGTGAGCAGCATTTGTGACCTTCCCAGACGGCGTCCGACAAGCAAAGCCAATGGGGGGGGAGCCAGAGTCACTTAATGACTGCATGATTCACTTCACAACTTTAGTGATCCACTTAACAACTGTGGCAAAAAAAGGTCGTAACACGAGGCACAACTCACTTTGACCACCACCTTGCTTAGCAACAGAAATTCTTGTCCCAGTTGTGGTTGTAAGTTGAAGACTACCTGTACAAGGAATTCTGTGGCCGAGTATGCAGACAATTTTATGGGTTCACATAATAGACCAGTGATGGCTAACTTTTTTGTCATCGCATGCCAAAAGTGAGGAGAGCGCGGGGTGATCACGTTCACGTGTGCCCACACCTATACGCGACCCCCCCATTGCTCCCCCCACTTTTGGCACGCAATGGCATGGTGGGTCCGGTAGGCCCATTTTTTGCCCTCCCCAGGCTCCAGAGCCTTTCTAGGACCCTGGGAAGGGTGAAAATGGCCTTCCCCACTCCCCCAGACACCCTCCGGAGGCTGGAAATGGCCAGTTTGCCAACTTCCGGTGGGCCCAGAAGACCTGAAAATCAGCTGGCGGAGCTGAGCTCGCGTGCCCACTGATACGGCTCCGCGTGCCACCTGTGGCATGCGTGCCATAGGTTCACCATCACGGTAATAGACTGAAGCATTAATTAGTCAAGTGCTCTAGATCAGGGGTCTCTAGCCTTGGCAACTTTAAGACTTGTGGACTTCAACAAAGCAAAGCTGGCTGAGGAACTCTGGGAGTTGAAGTCCACAAGTCTTAAAGTTGCCAAGGCTAGAGACCCCTGATCTAGATTCACACACTGCAAAGCCCCAAAACAAAAGCATAAACACAAAACTAAACTAAACCCCCGTGCCACCAACTGAAGTTAAAACTGACCGCGCTTAGTATTTTGAATGAATGCAGACATGATGTTTTTAACTGTCCTGATTAAGCATTTGTGAACACAACAATCTCTAATGGACATATTCTGGGAATATACAACACAGGGAAACTGGTGCCTCTCACAGCTCTATAAAAGGGTCATTTTGATAATCATTTCCCCCAAAGACTGATTTTAAATTTCAAAATATTGCCGGGGGAAGGGAGGGGGAAACAAGCTGTTTGGTGCAGTTTTGAGAACACTTGTAGCAGGCATAGTGGGAGGTGCAGACAGGGTAAAGTTGCAACTCCACATTATTAAGCAACAATTTGGAGCAAGGATTAATATGGTGAATTATCTTTCAACCAAAATGACTCATGAAGTTTGAAGAATATGAATTCCCACCAGCTGGCCAACCCAAAATTCCTTATAGCTAAATGCAATTTCAGGCAGCATCAAAGAAGTGCAGTTTGCAAGTATGGGAAGTATTAGCGGTTCCGATGCCAGTTTAGGTATCGTGTCTGGTTCTGAGCATCCACTTTTAAGAAGGATTCAGAAAAAAACCAGAACTCTTTCAGAGAAGAGCAAAAAGGATGCATGGAAATGGATGGAACTATGTTCTGCTAGGAAAGTAGGAAGTTTAGTCTAGAGCGGGGGGGGGGGGGTCAAAATCACAACCCACGGGCCGGATGCGTCACATGCTGCCCACGCCCATGTCCGGTTTAGCAAAGGGGGAAAAAAGGTCCCGATACGTCATGTGATGCTGCCGTGACGACATGAGTTTGACACCCCTGTTCTAGAGCAATGTTTCTCAACCTATGCAATATGAAGATGTGTGGACTACATCTCCCAGATTTCCCCAGCAGCATGCTGGTTGGGGAATTCTGGGAAATGTAGTCCAAATATCTTCATGTTGCCAAGCTTGAGAAACACTAGCCTGAAGAAGAAAAGACCAAGGAGGATGTATGTGTTGATCTCTCTCTCTTTCTTTCTTTCTTTCTTTCTTTCTTTCTTTCTTTCTTTCTTTCTTTCTTTCTTTCTTTCCCTTTCTTTTTCTTTTCTTCCTTCCTTCTTTCTTCTTTCTTTCTTCCTTCCTTCCTTCCCTCCTCCTTTCTTTCTTTCTTTCTTTCTTCCCTCCCTCCCTCCCTCCCTTCCTCTTTCTTTCTTTCTTTCTTTCTTTCTTTCTTTCTTTCTTTCTTTCTTTCTTTCTTTCTTTCTTCTTTCTTTCTTTCTTTCTTTCTTTCTTTCTTTCTTTCTTTCTTTCTTTCTTTCTTTCTTTCTTTCTTTCTTTCTTTCTTTTTATTTTCTATAACTCCTCAGGTACCTGAAACAATGTCAGAAAATAGGCCCAGACTATTCTGTATCACACGGAATAGTGTGCAGAGCCTGGAATAATGGTTTTAAAATACAGGAAGGCTGATTCACTTGAGTATTAGAGAGAGAGAAAAAAAGAGAAGCTCAAAACAGAAGCTTAATTTCCCAGGAAAGAGGAGGGCCCTCCTCCTCCAGATGTGTCTGACAGACACTACACATCATTGTCTGGGGATGACTTAATATGAATTCCTGCACTGAGAAAGAGTGTTAGACTTGATGGCCTAAACAGTTTTTCCGGCTCTGAATTTCTAGGATGCTGCACAGTGTTTTTTGTGGTTAGTGTTACTCACATCAACGTTACACGACCGGTAGCGCTTTCGTTCCCCTAGGCAATACCTTCCTCCAATGGTTGGCCTTTTGAAACAAAAAAAAAAAAAAAGGAAAAAAGAAAAGGGAAAGAATGCATCATTGTGGGCCCACAGGGCTATGCCCAGAGGCTGCACTGAATGTTCACAGTGGAGCGCTTACCTTGGACTGTCGCAATAGCGAGTGGATGAGGAAACACCTCCCCCGCAGGTCCGGCTGCACTCTCCCCAGGGTGACCAGGTGCCCCATGCTCCATCCACCCCTTCTGGCCGCATGCCAAAAGGTACGCATTCCCGCTTGTAGCACCACTGAGTAGGGTGGACCGAGAGAAAAAACACAGGCAATATTGCAGAAACCCAACGTGGTTATCATAATCCTATTGCTTTAGTCCTCGAGTTACAACCAGATTTGAGACCAGGTTGCTAAGCCAAGGTGTCAACTTCTCTAGGATCTGTTGGACCAGGTTGATGTGCTTGGAACAGTGATGCAATTTTATCATCTTTTTTGGTCATGGTTGTTAAGCGAACCACTTCAGGATTTTTTTTGCTTTAATTTATATGCTGCCCTTCTCCGGAGACTCAGGGCGGCTTACAATGCGTTAAGCAATAGCCTTCATACTTTTGTATATTTTATACAAAGTCAGCTTATTGCCCCCACAAACCGGGTCCTCATTTTACCCACCTTAGAAAGGATGGAAGGCTGAGTCAACCTCGAGCCTGGTGAGATTTGAACTTGCAGTAATTGCAAGCAGCAGATGTTAATAACAGTGCTTTAGTCCACTGTACTACAGGCTCTTCTTAAGTTAAGTTAAGGGAATCACGGGGTCATTAAGCAAATTCGGCTTCCCTTGTTGTTGAATACGTTTTTATTGGGTTATAAAGTATTATAAAATACAAAATACAAAAGCAAAGAAGAGGACAGGGAGAGGGAAGGGGAAAGGGCAAAGAAAAGAGTGGGAGGGTAGGAAAGAAAAAGAAGCACTGACTTCCGATTCCATCTGTTACCATAGAATAAGGCATTAACAACAAATCACAACTTCTTGTTTTACTATAATAGTATGAACCAGTCGTTTCTACAAAAGTCTATCAGTCTAATCTGTAAAACCCAGAATCAAAGTTTCATTCTTTTCCACATCAAGCACAAAGTTCAGAAGCGGTTTCCACATGGAAACAAAAGTACTTGTATGTTCTTTTCTTTGAGCAGAGTAGTCAGTTTTGCCATTTCAGCCAACTCCATCTGGCTGAAATCTGGCTTCCCTTGTTGACTTTGCTTGTTGGAAGCCAGCTGGGAAAGTCAGAAATGGTAATCATATGACCGCAACCCTCATAAATACATGCTAGTTGTGAAGCACACAAATTTTGATCACATGATTGTGGGGATGCTGTGATGGTCATAAGTGCTAGGAATGGGTGTAAGTCACTTTTTGGAGTGCTGTTGTCACTTCAGTCACTAAATGAATGGTTGTATATCGAGGACTATCTGTACCCTTGAATATGACACATACGCTTTACCCCCAGCTCCTCGAGGTTCCCAATCCCCACTGTTTTGAATATAGATCTGATTTATCAACAAAACAAAACAAAACAGGAGGCCATTTCAAATTGGCTCATTTGTTACAGGGAGTCACAGTACTAGGTAGAAGTATTTTTGTGGTCCCAGCTTAGGTAAAATTGGAATCTTCTGCATGCAAAGACTAGATCCGCTACTACTGAGCAATGAGCCTTTACTGTACTACCCTGTTTCCCCCAAAATAAGACATCCCCTGATAATAAGCCCAATCGGGCTTTTGAGCGCATGGCAATGAGGCCAAGCGCTTATTTCAGGGTTCAAAAAAATATAAGACAGGGCCTTATTTTCAGGGAAACACGATAATTAGATTAGTGTTAAATTTAAATTTACCGGCAAAGAAATAAAGGGAGACTAGTATAGCTATTTCCAGCTTTTTAGCACTCATCAGCTAGCCATACCCTTCTGGAATTCGAACCATGAGTCCTTCGGGAGAAGGGCGGTATAGAAATCTAATAAATCAAATCAAACCATTAGTAAGATCAGTGTTTTTCAAACTTGGCAATTGGAAGATATATGAACTTCATGTTGGCTGGGGAATTCTGGGAGTTGTAGTCCACACATCTTCTAGTGCCCAGGTCTGAGATGCTTATCCCTTCCTGATATCATGGTTTTTCCTTACCCCCTTTTCAATGGTGTTAGTCTGGCATATGGTCCCTTCTGCAGCTGGAATACTGTTGGTAATACACCGGTTGCTCTTGCTAAGACACCACAGCTCATTGCAAACTTCCTGGATGACAAACAAAATAACAATTGGTGGATTGTAGGAACAGGAAAAGAGAGAGTGCCAAGAAGAGTAATGGGGTGGGATATGGAGCTGAGTGAATTCAATTTTGGTTTAGCTGACTTTTTCATTTTTCCAGCCATAAGTAGTTTTGAATCAATTGTTTCAGCCTTGATTTATGCATGTTTTTAATTTTTTTCCCTGGAAACTCACATGATTTTTTTGCAGATTGTCCAAGGATCATTTTACAGGCAATTTCTGCATTAGATTTTTCTAATCCACTATCTTCGATAATCTGCATTTTCTCCTTATAAACATTCATTAAAATGCAATTCTTGAATTTACAAAATTTGGAAAAGTAGTGTCTTCAGTATGTAAGCGTCTTCTTCAGAAACAACAGACTGCATAAGTTTGCATCAACATAAACTCAAGCTAATTGCTTCCCTAGCTATTTGTAGATCTGAATTAAGAATGGGCGTACTGATAACAATCTTTCAGTTATCTGAAATAAGCAGAAAAATGGTTTTCAAAACCGCCACAAATAAACATGAAGTTAGCCCTAAACACAAATGCAAATTTAGAGCGTATGGATTATAGCAATAAATAATCAAAACAGGTTTGTTCTATACAGTATAAGGATATGTTCATTTTCCAGTATGTGGCCACCTTTATTCAGCACACTTACTCTGTGAACATGAATATGTTTTTTTTAAATAAATCAGGTCCAAAAGACGAAATGCAAAACAATACAGGTAGTCCTCAATTTATGATCATAATTGGGGTCAGAATTTTCATTGCTAAGGCAGGCGGTGGTTAAGAGAGTCACACCCAAATTTACAACCTTGTTTGTCATCGTTGCTAAGAGAATCACTGCAGTTAAGTCAGGGGTGTCAAACTCAAGGCCTGCAGGCTGCATTGGCCCACGGGATGCTTAGATCTGGCCTGCAGGGCCACCCTGGAAACAGCGAGGGACCGGCCCATGGTGCCTCTGCCAGTGAAAATGGAGTTCGGGAGGGCTGCATGTACATAGCAGGAGGCCATTGCAGTCCTTGCGAGCTCCATTTTCGCTGGTAGAGGGCAGAGGTGCGTTCTAATTTTTTTTACTACTGGTTCTGTGGGCGTGGCTTATTTTGTGGGCGTGGCTTGATGGTGACACACATGTGACAATTATTTAGGATTTAGCAGAGGTACTGGTCTACCAGGCTTTTAACTGCTTGCAGAGCTGTACTGGTCTACCCATTTATTTTTGCAGGCACTGATCTACTCATGTATTTTTGCAGGCACTGATCTACTCGTGTATTTTTACAGGCACTGATCTACTCATGTATTTTTGCAGGCACTGGTCTACCCATTTATTTTTGCAGGCACTGATCTACTCATTTGTTTTCTTTTAACACTGATCAACTGTAGGGCGGCCCTTTGAAGTGGCAAGAGTTTAAACACTTTTTTCCCCTCTAGCCATCAGCTGGGACTCAGGAGGCAGCAATAGATTGGGGGTGGGGCCAAATAAAAGGTAAGAATAATGCGGGGTTGGGGGGTGGCGGGGGGGCAGAACCGCTTCGGTGACATCATATTGTCACCGCTACCGGCTCGGGAGAACCGGGCTGAATCGGGAGGAACCTTCCACTAGTAGAGGGTTATAGGAGGCTGTTGCAGCCAGAAACGGAGCTCGGGACCCTGTTTTTGCTGGCAGAGCGCTCGGGCTACCCCAGGCGCACCCGACATGAATGATGTTGAGCTGGCCACGTCCACCCTGGCCCCACGAGGTCAAACACAACCCTGATGTGGCCCTCAATGAAATCGAGTTTGACACCCCTGAGTTAAGTGAATCATGTGGTTGTAAAGCAGATCAGGCTTGCCCCATTGTCTTTGCTTGTCAGTAGCTGTCTGGGAAGGCCACAAATGATTGCATGACTCTGAGATGCTGCTAGCTTCGTAAAATACATGATGGTTGCCTAGTGCCCAAATTTGGATCAGATGTCCATGTTTCAGTTGTAGCAGTAGCACTTAGCACTTAGCCTTAATTACCGCTTTACAGTTCTTTACAGCCCTCTCTAAGCAGTTTACAGAGTCAAATATTTCCCCCAACAATTTGGGTCCTCATTTTACCCACCTCGGAAGGATGGAAGGCTGAGTCAACCTTGATCCTGGTCGGATTTGAACTGCCAAATTGCAGGCAGCCAGCAGTCAGCAGAAGTAGCCTGCAGTACTGCACTCTAACTATTGCGCCACTGTAGCTAAGTGTGAGGAATGGTTCTAAGTTATTTTTTTCAGTGCCATTGTAATTTTGAATATCATTAAACAAATGGTTGTAAGTCAAGGACTACCTGTAAGGTTATTTTTGTAATGAACTACAATTTCTTCCATTTGATAACACATAGCTACAAGTTTTCTGCACATGAATGAATATCACAGGGAAAAGGGTGTAGGCTTATTTTCCATAGTACTGGTAGTCTTCGACTTATGACCACAATGGAGCCTCAACTTTTCTGTTGCTAAGCGAGATAGTTATAAAGTGAGTTTTGCCCCCATTTTATGACTTTTTCTCACCACATTTGTTAAGTGAATCACTGCAGTTGTTAAATTAGTAACAAGGTTGTTAATTGAATTAGGCTTCCCCATTGACTTTGCTTGTCAGAAGGTTGCAAAATGGGATCACATGACCCTCGGGACACTGGAAAAGTCATAAATATGAGTCAGTTTCCATGCATCCAAATTTTGGTCGTGTGACCATGAGGATGTTGCAACGGTTGTTTTGCTCTTCATTGATTTGCTCTTCATTGGGGACACCGAAATCACTACAAGAAATATTATGTTTTGGCTTCAAGGGATGCACCATCTTCTCTGATTCCTGATAAACTGTTAATCTGATAGGCATAAAAGCATATTACTAAGACTGACCAGAAATAAACAAACATCAGGGGCATTCAATATAGGAAAAAGTTAGACATAGCTAATAGCTTGAAAACATGCTGCCAACCGTTGTGGTTGATGCAAAAATTGTGACAGTCGCACTTGTGAGTGATGGCAGCTGATTTTAATACCTCTGTTGTGATGCTAAATGAATGCAATGTTCATTAAGTGAACGCCATGGTTGTTGAGTAAATCCATTGTTTCCTATGGGCAGGTTTTTGCTGGAAACCAGAAGTACACTCTGGTTTTCAGCAAAAACTTCAAAAATTCAGGTCATGTGATCATGGGATGCTACAAACAGCCTGTCAGCTCTGAAGCTGGCCTGACTGAGGCCATCTTGGAGGCTTCAGTGGTGCCACAATGGTGCTGAGAGATAGGCAGGGGGGGAATAGAGATAGCTGGGATTTTGTAGCCAAAACAAAATAGTTTCCCCTGAGAACCAAGGACATTCCCACAGGTGGTTGAAGAGAGGAGGAGTGAAGTTTCCAAGCAACCAGACAGCACCTTGATTGGATCATGTGACTGATTGTTTGGGAAAGGGGATAAAAACTTTACTTTTAATTAGGTGAAAACCGCGGGAACTTTTAGAGTCGGTTTTCACCAGTCTGTGCCAATATGATATGTCCACTAAACTTGTTCTTTGAGGAACCTACTTGCCTCGGAGTTCTGCTTGCTATGGGTGGATTACTTGGAACCCTGACACAGCCCCACATGTGAGCCAGTTTTCAAGCATCTAAAATGTGGTCATATGGCCCCAGAGGGAGGGAGCTGGATGTCAGAACTTGGGAATCATAAGTAGCTTTATTAGGATTCGAATGGAAACTAAGTGACTGGTTGTAAGTCGAGGACTACCTCCAATGTTCTTGCCTAACTAAAATTCCTTCCTTCCAACCCCTTGGGAATCAAGAGGAAAAGCAGGAAGGCTTCTCTACCCCATATTTACACTGGCGAGATTTTGTTCCGTACTGAAGCCGGCATTGCTCGTCTGCATCATAGGCTTGTCCTGGAGCCACTGTAGGATAGATGAAGTCTTGCTTGGGTGGAGCGTTATTCAGGCAGAGTCCCATTCCAGAGCTAGGGGTAGAGGGAAGGAGCACAGGTTATGAATAACAAGGATTTGGGAGAAAAAAAAACCTGGTTTTGGGGGATGAGGAACATTCGATAATGAAGTGAGTCAAGTCTTACTCCAGGAAGCTGGTTATATAATCTCTACTGCATGCTGACCACACAAAGGGGTTGGTCTTCATAGTAATATGAGCTGCCATGAGTTTAGCTGTCTCCCGTCCCCGGGCTCCACAGCTATTTCCAACACCATCATGGTTCATGCCAAACCTGGAAAAGGGGAGAAACATTATGATTGTTTTTTACATCAGGAAGGGTCTTCCCCATTCAAGGAAGATGGAAACCCAAAATGGGTGCACTAACACTCTTTTGGAAGGCCTTGAAGATGTGGTTCTGCCAGCGGGCCTGGGGAATCCAGAGCAGGATGGAGCCCATTAAATGGCAAGTATGAATGGGTGTTGTCGCCCAGGTGAGGGTGGGTTATTATTTTATTATTTTTCTTTTTTTATTATTTTTCTTTTTATTTCTTTCATATTGTGTTTTTATGTTCTTGTAAGCCGCCTTGGGGTCGCCATGTGTTTCTGTTTCTGTTGCTCCCCTCTGGGAGGAGGTTTCGAAGTATTTCTAGCAGGACAACCAGAGTCTGTAACAGCTTTGTCCCTTATGCCATTCATATGCCAAACTCACAAGATTCGTTTCTCTCGCCATGTACATGTATACATACTGTTCTGTCCCCGTCTCACACACGCACACAAACAGACAGCTGGGGGTTAAATAAACTGGCAGACAACAAATTCTTCCGATAAGATGCTTGGCAGCAACCCAGTAGCTGCTTGCCAAGAACTTTACTCATAAACAAGATACACACAGTCCAGTCCGTAATTAAATCCAAGGCAGATAATGCTGTTTCCAAAGATGCAAAGTGACTCGATAGTAGTTAGTTTTGTCCGTCACAGAGTCTGAATGGACACCTCACCCCCTTTTATACCCTGTGGGGTGTGGTCCAGTGACTCAGCTTAATCTCTGGCACGCTTCTTCTTCTGTTGTGCGCGCTTATCTCTGCGACACTGCCGAGGATCCAGCCAAGACTCATCTCCCTCATTACTGTCCACCTGTGGCTGTGTGGACATGCTTGGCCCTGGGCCTATCTCTTGCCCTTCGGCGGACACCGAAGGCATTGCCAGAGAGGAGGGTCCTGGAGAGGGAGGCCTTGCCAACTCCTCTCCTTCACTCTCGGAATCCTCTCCTGCCAATGACACAGGCTCACGTAACGGAGCCACAACACATACAAACGAGACTGGGTTGTTTCTCTGTGCCATATAATATATGTGGGTATATGCATAATTTTGTATTTATTTAGTCATTTTTATGTAATGTACATTGGAGGTGGTGACCCTTTGAGAGCTGTATGCAACAAAATTTCATTTTAATGTATGCCGATCAGTGTATATCCATCATGACAATAAAGTTATTCTAAGTCTAAGTTCTAACATAAATTTTCTAAATAAATACATAAATTAGTATCATGAAAGCTGCTTGCATATGCCACAAGCGCAACAATGGTAGTGGACTCACGTGTGGCCTATCTCATGAGCAATGGTGAAAGCTGTGGCCAAGCCGAGGTCTTCGTTGATGCTGCAGCTCCTTTCACGTTCACACATCCCACCCACAGGGGCCAATCCTGGAGAAAGAAAAACATTACTGTGGGGAGCAGAAGCGAAGTCTAGCCACTGTGTAGCTCTAGCCCACTTCCCAATTTGGTCTTTGTGATTTTAAAATGTTCATTAATTAGCTCATCTGTTAGAGCAGGAGTGGGAACTATGGCCCCCTTTAGGACCTGTGGACTTCAACTCCCAGAATTCCTGAACCAGTATGGCTGGCTCAGGAATTCTGGGAATTGAAGTCCACAAGTAGCTGCCCACCGCTGTGTTAAAAGCAAGTTAATAGGCATCACCTTAAAAACAACAACACATTTTCCATATTATTAATTATATCAAGGCTATTATATTGCTGCCCTCCAGGCCCCCTACTTGAGAATGTCAGGGTTCCAAAAAACACCCCCAACGAAATCTGTTACAGATTTCATCTACCTCAAGTTGCCACAATGGACAATCCCAGTTCACTATTTCAAACTTTTTGAGAGTCTGAAAGTTTTCATTCAGCCATTCTTTGCAAGCCACAAGTGAGGATGATTGTGATTCTACAAATGCATTTAACTACAAGTCCCAGAACCCTTAGCCAATGTGGCCATGCATACTTCTCCTTAGGCCATGCTACTACTGGTACTATATATAAATCTACTGTACTTCCAGGCCAACTGTATCCAGAAAAGAAACCAGAATTAAAGATATCAGTAAGAGGAAGACTAGGTTGCCACTTAATTGGTTGCATTCACCCCAAGATGCTATAAGCCTTAAATCACATAAGCAAAATTTAATTGCCTTACCCATATAATGGGCCCTTACAAATACAATTTCAGTAGTCCTTGATTTACAACCAGAATGGACCCAGTAAAGTGACTGCTGCAGTCATTAATCAAACATTGCAATCATTAAGTAAACCCATTGTCCGCTATTGGGCATGCTCTACTTATGTCATGCTCTACTTATGTCTATGGGATTGGGTAGAGACAAAGGATGAAAATGATGCAATTTATATGCATGATGACCCAACTGCTAAGTTTTCATAATGACATCATGAAGCACATATTGTCATGTTGACAGCGATATTTATCTCCAAACCTGGCAACTTTAAAACTTGTGAACTTCAACTTCCAGTATTCCCCAGAGAGCATGGCCTGCTAAGGAATTCTGGGAGTTGAAGTCCACAAGTCTTAAAGTTGCCAAGTTTGGAGACTCCTGTGATAGACATACTGCAAATCAGAAGTGGGTTTCAGCAGGTTCTGACCAGTTCTGGAGAATAGGTAGTGGAAATTTTGAGTAGTTTGGAGAACCGGTAAATACCACCTCTGACTGGCACCTCCCCCATCTATTCTCTGCCTCCCAAGTCCCAGCTGATCGGGAGGAAATGGGGATTTGCAGTAACCTTCCCCTGGAGTGGGGTGGGAATGGAGATTTTAGAGTAACCTTCCCCTGGAATGGGAAGGGAATGGAGATTTTACAGTATCCTTCCCCTGCCACGCCCACCAAGCCACATCATGCCACGCCCACCGTGTCACGCCCACAGAACTGGCAGTAAAAAAAATTGAATCCCACCACTTTTTCAAACCGCATTTTGGCCGAGTTGTATGATCCCAGCCCAAATAAATTTTTTCCACTTCAAAAAAATCAGCATAAAAAATTAGCATAGGCTATAATGATAAGCATTTGATGGCACGTTTTGTACCTACCTAGAGTTCCACAGGGTTTGTTTTTGTAAATGCAAATATCATATCTAGAAGGAGGGGAAGAGAGAAGAAACAAAGAAAAATGCCATATTAGATCAGATTCCATTGCACTGATTAAGCTAGCTGTGGTTTCTGCAGGAAACTAATCACCAAATGAAGAATCTATGAAAACACCACAGAGCGGGTGGGGTACATAAAGCTAAATTTTGATGCCAATATTTGCGTTTTCATCAGTGGAATGTTTACAACCATCTCCTGAAAATAAAGTTTGAATAAAATAAAATGGGCCCTGAAATTTACCATTGAAAGCCAGATGGGTAAATTTGTACCCACCTCACAGGGTTGTTGTTGGGAAAATAGGAGAAGGAAGGAGTATTAGGTATGTGTTTGCTGTGGAATTATTCATAAATAGTAAAGGCGGGATATAAATAAATTAATAAAAATAAATTGGACCACTGGGAGGGATTAGAGGAATTTGATTGGGAAGCACCACCCAACATTATGTTAAGAGCTCTGCTGAGTCTGACCAAAGGTCCATCAAATTCAACATCCTAAATTTTCCTGTGACTAATCAGAAACTTTAGGGAGAAAAACAAGCAGACCATGAAAGAAAGAACACAGGTAGCCCTGTGGTGAAATGTAAAATTTGTTACTACTGGTTCTGTAGGCGTGGCCAACTTTTTTTTTTAACTTTTAAAACCATTTTTTTCTACAGCCTCTTCAGCCGAAGAGGTTGTAAAAAAAATGCTTTTAAAAGCCTCTGATGATCCCAGCTGAGCCGCACAATCATCAGAAGCTTTTTTTTTAAAAGAACATTTTTTCGGCCGATGAGGTTGTAGAAAAAATGCTTTTAAAAGTAAAAAAAAAAGCCTCTGATGATCGCACGGCCCAGCTGGGCATGGGGGGGGGCAGGGATTTTTGCTACTGATTCTCTGAACCACCCGCCGCCATCGCTACTGGATTGGGCGATCCGGTCTGAAACGGGAGCATTTCACCCCTGAGGTAGCCCTCAATTTTCGACCACAATTGGGAACTGAATTTCCACTACTAAGCAAAGTGAGTAAGTAAGTAAGATTACTAAATAAGTGAGTGGCACTTGATTTTACCAACGTTTTCCCCATGGTTGTTAAGTGAATCACTGCAGTAGCTGTGAATCACACGGTCATTAAGCGAAAAATCCACCATTGATTTTGCTTGTTGGAAGCTGGCTGGGAACATTGCAAATGGTGATCATAAGATACCAGGGCATTGCAACCATCGTAAATGCATTCTGGTTTCCAAGCACCCAAATTTTGATCATGTGACCACAGGCATGCTGTGACAATTGTAAGTGTGAGGACTGGTTGTAAATCGCTTGTTGTAATTTTGAAAAGTCGCTAAATGAATGGTTCCAAGTCAAGGACTACCTGTGCTTTGCTAAACTGCTGGTTAGAGGCAGAAGATTGAAAACCGGGTCTTGGAGAGTTATGCTTTTCCTGGGAATTTGGTAAACTTTGTGATGGCACAACCTCAGGTCAAGGTGATAGTAACTTGAACTTAAGGCTTCCCCCTCTGCTCTCCACCCCTCTGAGTTAAGGCTCAGTTAAGGCTCTCCACCCCTCTGAGCATCAGCAAAAAAAAAAAAAAGAGAGAGAGAGATACAGATAGTCCTCGACTTACAACCATTCACTTATTGACCATTTAGGAGCCTTGGTGGCGCAGTAGACTAAACTGCTGTTAAAGTAGCACTTAGCTGCCAGCTGCCTGCAATTACTGCGAGTTCAATTCTCACCAGGCTCAAGGTTGACTCAGCCTTCCATCCTTCCGAGGTAGGTAAAATGAGGACCCGGTTTATGGGGGCAATAAACTGACTTTGTATAAAAAAGAACACTGCTTATGGGGGGGCCAAAAAAGCCCTACTAAGCAGGTATATACAAAAGTATGAAGGCTATTGCTTAACGCATTGTAAGCCACCCTGAGTCTCTGGAGAAGGGCAGCATATAAATCGAACTAATAAATAATAAATAAATAAATAAATAAATAAATTTAAAACTGAAAAAAAGTGACTTATGACCGTTTTTCACACTTACGACCGTTGCAGCATGCTCATGGTCACGTGAACAAAACTCAAGACGCTTGGCAACTGATTTGTATGTATGATGGTTGCAATGTCCCGGGGTTGTGTGATCACCTTTTGCAACCTTCTGACAAGCAAAGTCAGTGGAGTCCCAAAGGTGCTTTTTCAAGAGGTTTTTCTTTGAAGAAGTTTTGCTTCTCATCCAAGAAGCTTCTTCAGCTCTGACTGGATGGTGGGGTCCTTGCAGACAGCTGGTCATTTGCATTCTTTTAGAGAGTCATTTCAGGGTCACCTGAGTGGTGCAAATGGGTGTGGAGCCTTTTTGGAACTGTTGAAAAAGTCTTCCATTCCTCACCATCCAGTCAGAGCTGAAGAAGCTTCTTGGATGAGAAGCAAAACGCCTTCAAAGAAAACCCAAGAAATCCAGTTGCCTCTTGAAAAAAGCACCTTTGGGACAACCATGACCTGGATGACTGAGAAACTCCATAGACATTTAAAGTCAGCGCAGAAGCCATGTTCACTTAACAACCATGTCATTAATTTAACAACCGCAATGCTTCACTTAACAACTGTGGCAAGAAAGATCGTAAAATGGGGCAAAATTCACTGTTGAACAACTGTCTCGCTTAGCAACAGAAATGTTGGGCTCAATTGTGGTCGTAAGTCGGGGACTATCCGTACTGGCATGAAAGTTGCTCTCCTTATTGCTGATCTCTCTCCAGCCTCAACCGCCTCTCTTCTTAGTTATTGCCAGTTCCCTGATTTTCCTCCAAAGTAACGGGGAAGAAGTTTAAACAGATTTTACATATCCTGAGACTGACAATGTAGGAGGAAATGGGAAAAAAACATTGCAGCCAAGGATGACTTAAGCCTATCTTACTCATGGGCTAGGGATGGGATGAAGCCAATGTTATGGGGCTGCCACATGTTTATGCCTTGGTTATGGGCCACGAATCTCTGTTGACGATCGAAGATAGACAGAAATGGGTTCAGTGGTTGGATTCACCGGTTCGGCTCGGTTTGGGCGAACTGGTAGTTAAATTGCTTGCTGGCCCCACCTCTCTCTGCCCCGCCCCTTCCAAGTGTCCCCACGTGCCCCATTTTGGCTCCCAGGTAAGTGCAGGGAGGCCTCCTAGGCCCAAAATGAGGCACGGTGTGTGTGTGTGTGTGCAGAGCCCCCCTCCTCCCGCAGCCTGTTTTCACTCCTAGGAGACTTCAGGGAGGCCTCCTAGGCCCAAAACAGGGTGCGGGGGGGGGATGCCCTGCGGCCACCCCACGGACTGTTTTCACTCCCAGGAGGCTTCAGGGAGGCCTACTATGAGATGGTATGTCAGGGATACCCAACAGAAGCAAGGAAATTGTGAATACATTTTCCTCTCTTGCGCTGAGCCAGACAGAGCGGGAGAAACTGGCAGCCATGTCTTTAAAGACGGGAAATTGTACCCAAATCACTGTAAAAGGAGATGTACTATTCCAAAACTTGTTTGATTTTAACATTTTCATTCACTGGAAGGGTAAAGAATTGCCACCAAATTATTCTGTTCATCTGGGTTTTTGTTTTTTTTTTGTCAAGAGGTGAGTTTTCTTTTTTCTTTTTCTTTTTGCAAATTTAAAATTCATTACTTCTTATTTGATTTTACTATGTTTTTTTTTTAATGTCTGGTTGAAAATTCATAGGTGTTAACAAGGTGCACTTCTCCAAAACAGAACTCCCTCTTTGTACGCTGTTTTGAAAAGAACACCATATTGCAAATGTCAGAAAGGCAGATTCTATTTCAGTTCATGTAATATTTTGGGAAATTCAAATTAAACAGGTTTCCTCTGAAAGAAACTTGAGCAATTGTTATCCAACTGACCACTGCAACATCATGGTTGTCATGCATCCTTGTAATAGCCTATAAACCCTTGCAAACAACACGGTCAAACTTAGCATCCTTAATACCTGCCACTCCAGATGTTGGTTCTTCCTTTTTCCTGAAACTTCACCTCATTTGATGCCACTGCAAAAAATGGCTTCCTAATTTTGTGTGGGCTACAAATGGGATATGAATATGGGCAGATGGGCTAAGCCCAGGGGTGGGCTCCTGGGGGTTTGGCAGGGTTCGGGCAATCCTCTAGCCAAGGATTGCTGGGGTTCGGCGAACCTCCAAATGCCACCCCTGGCTGGCCACGCCCACCCTTCCCTTTCCCGCCCCTCCCACCCCGCCCCTCCCAGGAGTCTCCACGCAGCCCGTTCATCATTCCAGGTAAGTGCAGGGGCCACACGGAGGGTCTGGGAGGGCAAAAAAATGGGCCTACTGGAGGTTCCGGAAATCTGGAACTGGGCCTGTTTCCAGCCTCTGGAGGGCCTCTGGATCCCAGGGGAAGCTGTTTTCGCCCTCCCGGAGGCTCCAGGAAAGCCACTGGAGCCTGGGGAAGGGCAAAAAACACCCCCCACCTCTCCGTGGTGCAGGTGGCCAACTAGGCCACACCCACCACGGCCATGCCCACCCAGCAACGGGGCAGTGAACCCTTTGCTAAAGGATCTGAAGCCCACCTCTGGCTAAACCTTAATTTTGTAAGTTTCCTGGTTCATCTCTTACTGACATGTGTGCCTTTTGCAAAAACCAAACCAATGAACTCTTTCGCCCTTCAAAAAAAAAAACAACCCAAACTCCAAAGCACAGCAGGATGTTATCTGGAGATGCGGAATTTATGAGGCACAGAGAAGTTTTACAAGGCATTTGGTTTTTCGTCCAAGGTTTGGCTTTGTAAATATGCCCCAGGGACTCAGTGGGAAGACTCACAAGCAATTGCTCAAGCAGTTGTGTTGAAAGACAAGGCTTTCCAAGTTAGCATATTTTTCTTCCCTTCCTTATCTTGCACATCAAGAATGAAGGGAGACAAAAGATATAATTCCCCAGAAATACGTAGTTCCCCAGAGAAACAGTGGATACCTTGCAGGATTTCAGAGCTGAGTCAGGCAAAGGAGTATTCCAGCAAAAAGTAGGAAAGAAATATGAAGTTTTTATTTCATGAAAGTAAACTACAAGGATGAGAAGAAACTGTATTTCAACATAAACACCACAGATAGTCCTTGACCTTATGACTGCAATTGGGACCAGAGCTTCTGTTGCTAAGCAGGTTGGTCATTAAGTGAATTGCACCTGATTTTATTCCCTTTTTTTGCTGCGGTGAATTACTGCGGTTGTTAAGTGAATCAAGCAATTGTTAAGCAAATCCATGTTCCTTCATTAACATCTCGTCTGAAACTGGCTGGGAACATTGCAAATGGTGATCACGTAATGTCAGGATGCTGCAACCACTGAATACATGTTGGTTGCCAAGCACCCAAATTCTGATCAGGCGATCAGGCGGTGGCTGCAATGGTCATAGCAATAGCAATAGCATTTAGACTTACTGGTATATACCGCTTCATAGTGCTTTACAGCCCTCTCTAAGCGGTTTACAGAGTCAGCATATTGACCCCAACAATTTCACCATGGCCAAGACTGCCTACCAACTAGAAGTCAATGGCCGGCGACCTCACGGGCGTCCAAAACAGAGATGGCAAGATACCGTCAACAAAGATATGCAAGCCACGGGCCTGCACCCTGGAGACACAGCTGACCATACAAAGCAGGGTTCAGTGATCCGAAAAGCAGACCCTGCACCTGCAGGAATACATTAGGAAAAAGAAGAATAATCTGGGTCCTCATTTTACGGACCTCAGAAGGATGGAAGGCTGAGTCCACCTTGAGCTGGTGAGAATCGAACTGCCAAACTGCTTGCAGCCGGTAGTCAGAAGAAGTAGCCTGCAATACTGCATTCTAACCACTGCGCCACCACGGCTCTAAATGCAAGGACTGTTTTTCATCGCCACTTTTTCATTGTCATCATAACTTCAAATGGTCACTAAACAAATACTCATAACTCAAGGGCTGTCTGTATTGGCTTTTCATCCCCATCCACTCCAACTTTACCTCCCCGAAATTAGAGGTTTACCTGGTGATCAAAACCGCAGTATCATGGTTAGCGATGCCGTTCTCAGGAATGGCATTCCCATCACTGCTGAGGCTCACAATAGCCTTCTGCCACTTGCAAAAGCTGTCAAGGGACTTCCCAGCATGATGGTTGATTTCCAGGGATGGCTGGAGAAGAAAACAGGTCAGTCTTAACATGAATGATGCTATGAGGAGCTAGTCTATTCATTGATGATCTTTGGAGACCAGTAAAGGAGAAAAATTGTAGCTCAGGGTTGTCATGAGGCGTTCTTGGTGCTATCTGAGCTTGGTTGTTTTCTTGCAGACATTTATTTTATTTATTTATTTTATTAAATTTTTATACCACCCTTCTCCTGGAGGACTCAGGGCGGTGTACAGCCAGAGATAAAACCCACAACAATATAAAAGTTAAAAGACGAATTAAAAATATTAAATAATTTGGCCGAAAAAGCTAAAATAAAGACAACCCAATATAATTTCATTATCCAGTTAGGTAATATCATCAGTGCTGTTATCACTAGCACTGATGATGTTACCTAGTTGGGTAATGAAATGTCTGCAAGAAAACAACCCAGCTCAGAGAGCACCAACCAAGGACCCCTCAATTTTTGAAGAACTTTCCTTGGCACCTTTGTCTGTTTTGGAACATAAGATGGGGCCTCCTTTGCAACTACATTTTGTTATTGGAACTCCCTTCATGTTGACAATCTCCTCCCCCTCCCATATTCCTACATTATCTCCTCATCCTTTCCCACATTATTTGGGTAATTTCTGATTTTCCATAACTAGGAAATTATTATTTCCTGCATTGGAGAGGAAATTATATACGAGCCTTTCCTTCTAAGAACCTCCTCTTTTTTTTATTAGGATCTAAAGGTCACTGTGTTTCTTCAGCTCTCTCTTTTTATTTAGTTCTAGATCATTTTGAAAATGTTCAGTAGCATGATGGGGGTGAAACCCAAAGGTGCTTTTTCTGGAGACAACTGGACTTCCTTGTTTTTTGTTTTGAAAACATTTCGCTTCTCATCCAAGAAGCTTCTTCAGCTTTGACAGGATAGCAGGGTGGATAAAAATCGGGCCCTGAAAACACACCTATTCCATCTAGCTGGGCTGGCTTGATCCCATCCTCTCAGTTTTAATTGAATTTGGTTTTAATTGGGTTGTTTTTAATATTTTGGGCCGAAATTATTTAATTGTTTTTTAAATTGTTTTTAAATTTTATATGCAATGTTTTATCTTGGCTATACACCGCCCTGAGTCCCGCAGGAGAAGGGCGGTATAGAAATAAAATAATAATAATAATAATAATAATAATAATAATAATAATAATTTTTAAAAAACAATAAAAAAAATCAGATTTTTTAAAATTTAAATTGGATTTTTTTGATTTAAATCCGATTTTTTTAAAATTTTTATCGAATTTATTTTAATAAAAAGCTTTTGGGGTAAAAATCTATCGTAAGATAGTTTCCTATTTAAGATACATAAATAATTTAGTTTATTCAGCATGAAATGGAGCTTAGTTATGTAGCATGAAGCTATATATTCTGCAACACTGGGACTATCGGTGAGTCAAGAGTGGGTCAAAGGAGTAGCAGAGATGACAGTTGCTCTTTAAAAATTATGATTTAAATCGAGTTGATTTAAATCAAGCCTTTTTACTAGTGATTTAAATCATGATTTAAATTGTGATTTAAATCAACTCGATTTAAATCAAATCCACCCTGCAGGATAGTGAGGAATGGAAGGCTTTATATTCCTTGCAGACAGCTGGTCATTTGCATCCCTTTAGAGGGTCGTTGAAGCACTTGGAGTTTTATCTGTGTCCTGAAAAAGCATCTTTGGGACAACCATTTATTTATTTTATTTATTTATTTGGTTCGATTTATATGCCGCCCTTTTCCGGAGACTCAGGGCGACTTACAATGCGTTAAGCAATAGCCTTTATACTTTTGTATATACCTGCTTAGTAGGGCTTTCGGGCCCAGATGACTGAGAATCTCTATAGACGTTTAGCAATACAATTAGGGATAAACACCCTTTGAATGGTGGGGGAGTAGGAATGGTTTTCCAGGGGAAAAATTGCAGACTACCGGAACCAGGAGCATCACTCAGGTGACCTTGAGGACACAGATAAACCTCCAAGGGCTTCAACAACCCTCTAAAAGGATGCAAATGACCAGCTGTCTGTAAGGAATATAAATCCTTCCATTCCCCACTGTCCTGTCAAAGCTGAAGACGCTTCTGGGATGAGAAACGTCTTCAAAAGAAAAAACAAAAAAATCCAGTTGCCTCCTGAAAAAAGCACCTTTGGGACAACCACGACCTGGATGACTGAGAATCTCTACAGACGATGAGGGTGAAAACATTTTTCATATATAACTAGATTGTTTTGTGCCTCTGGTCCATCTCTCCAAGAATTAGCCTTGGGATTGGTGATGGTTCTTCACAGTGATCTTCCCTAATATTCCAAACTTGGTGCTGGAGAAGACTCTTGAGAATCCCTTGGACTGCAAGGAGATCAAATCAGTCGATCCTAAAGGAAATTGATCCTGACCGTCCTTTGGAAGCACAGATACTGAAGGTGAAGCTCAGATATTTTGGCCACCAGATGAGAAGAGAGGATTCATTGGAGAAGACTCTGATGTTGGGAAAGATGGAAGGCAAAAGGAGAAGGGGGTGGATGGCAGAGGATGAGAGGGTTAGATAGTGTCAGTGACGCAATGAACATGAATTTGGGCAACTCCAGGAGACAGTGGAGGACAGTGGGGCCTGGTGTGCTATGGTCTATGGGATCACAAAGAGTCGGATACAATTTAGCAACTGAACAACTACAAAATAGTCTTTCATTCCTAATGCTGAATGAATGATCTGCCTGTAGTACAGTGACTGAATGTTACTTTGTAGTATGCCCAGTCTTTATCAAAACACTGTATAGATATATATTTAAAATAATCTACTCCTCCTCCTTGCTTTGGGAATTCCTTCCTTACCTGGTCCTCTGTCAGCAGGATAAGGCGGGTTACCAGAATGTTCACGATATTGCCCAAACTTGAGTCTTGGAAAAGTTTAGCAACCTGACCTCCAGGAAACAAGGAAACACCAGTGTTAAAAAGAAGATGGATTCAGCATCATGATTGATCAGAAATGGCATCCTTTGTAGGATTGGCAGAATACGGAAGAACTTTTCAAGCTAAGGGAGATTTTGTGGTTAACCAGATCTGACTTCCACCAATCTGCTCTCCTACCCAGAAGCCACTTTTCATAAAAGTCAGTCTTCTGTCTCTATCAAGCACCATTGTGGCCCAGCAATAGATTTCACTGTCCTGGGCATTATCCTCTTTCTTCTAAACTTTGGCCGCTAGCTATGAAAAGCCATGGTGGCACAGTGGTTAAATGCTATTGTTATTACTATGAAGATCTGAGAAAGTACTGGGGACTTGGAAACCTTCAGCTCCATAAAGAACGAATGTGAGAAGGATATGTCAGCCTTTGTAATGAGCTTTTCTCATTGTTTTGCCTTTTGAAGGTCTTTGGCGCGTAAGTACCAAAATTCCAACCTGGGAGAGGAATTTGGGGAGCTGTAGTCCTGACATATCCAAATGGCACTAAGTTGAGAATGTCTGGTAAAAAGAAAATGTGGAAATCAATATCCACAAATGAAGCTGCTAGGGATTAGTCAGCTATGGAGACTACTAGGTCACAAAAATGGGAGTAGAAAATTATGGTAATACAGGTAGTCCTCTACTTACAGTAATTCATTTTGTGACCGTTGCAACAGCATTATAAAAAAAAGTGATTTATGAATTCACTTAACAAGTGTCTTGCTTTGCAACAGAAATTTTGGGCTCAATTGTAGTCATAATTCAAGGACTACCCATAGTGTGTGATGGTAAGGTATGTGCGAGTGATCTTGGGAGACAAACCTGCCCCTAAGCTCCTCCTCCTGTCTCCCAAGGGCCTTCCCACATAGCATTCTTGGTTATAATACTTACAATATTCATGATAGCCAGGATGTATTCCTCTATATCTCGCCGGCCATGGTAGCCCACCATCATCTTATCAGCCACCACAAGAGTCTCCACATAACGCTCAGTGCTGACTGACCTCTTCAGAGGCAGTTGTCCCCTTTGAGAAAAGTTGCCCAGGGTCTTCAAAGGGGAGGGTTTCAGTGTCCGCAACCACCAGGGTCTACCTTTCCATGGCTTCTCATCTGCAGGGAAGTAGCGATGACGTATTTATTTATTTATTTATTTATTTATTAATTAATTAATTAATTAATTAATTAATTAATTATATTTCTATACCGCCTTTCTCCCGTAGGACTCAAGGCGGTGTACAGTCAAGAAAAATATAGATACACAAACATCATAAAATTGCTAATTAAAATTATTATTATAACATAGTTTGGCCCAATTAAATAGAACCTAAAATTAGATAACATTTTAAAAACATTCACATGTTCATATGTTTAGCCCCGCTTGTTGGAACATCAGAGTTTTGAGGGCACGGCGGAAAGCACGGAGATCAGGGATATTTCGTATCTCAGGGGGCAGTTCATTCCAAAGGGCTGGAGCCCTCACAGAGAAGGCCCTCCCCCTGGGAGTTGCCAGTCGGCATAATTTGATTGACGGTACCCTGAGTAGTCCCTCCCTGTGAGAACGAACTGGTCGGTGGGAGGCTATTGGTGGCAAAAGACGGTCTCGTAGGTACCCAGGTCCTAAGCCATGGAGCGCTTTAAAGGTGATAACTAACATTCAATTTAGCATTCTCTCTTCTTCCTCTCCCCTCGGACCCCCCCAATACTTCGCAAAGCAAAACCAATTGATTTCTTATGCCTAGAATTGCTTCCAAAAGAACACATTCAATAAATTCAACGATAAACCATCATGGTGGGTGGCCTGGTTTTAGGTTAATGCCAACAGAATCCTTGTGAAAGGACAGGACGGGCATGCTTGGTCAGCAGTGGGAGCAAGAAGATTGTGAAGGTCAGTTAGGTCAGCAAAGGCTGTGGAATGCAGCGGGCCAAAAGAGCATAGATGGGCAGAGAGGTAGGTGGATGGGGGGAGTTAAAAGACCCCTGCAGTCATAACTGTGGCTGCCAAGCCACCAAACTATGATCACATGATCGTGGGGTCATTGCAATGGCCATAACTTCATAGACTGGTGGTAAGTCCCTTTCTTCAGTGCTGCTGTAATGGCTGCCGAACAAATGGTCATAAGTCGAGAACTATCTGTAATATACAGGAGTAGAGAGCTTCAAAAAGAAACATTCTGTCCTGAGGCCTCCCCAAAAATTAAGTGCTGGGCATTTTAGTGTTTTAATATATGCCCAAGAAAGCTGACCAGTGACACCTGTGGTCATGTTACATATAGTCCTCGACTTACAACAGTTTGTTTAGTGACTATTCAAAGTTACAATAACACTAAAAAAAAGTGACGTTTTTCAAACTTACGACCAGCATCCCCATGATCATGTGATCAAAATTCAAATGTTTGTCAACTGACTCATATTTATGATGGTTGCAGTGTCCCGGGATCATGTGGTCCCCTTCTGCGACCTTCTGACAAGCAAAGTCAATGGGGAAGCCAGGTTCATTTAACAACAATGGAACAGTTGCATGATCCATTTAACAACACTAGCAAGAAAGGTTGTAAAATGGGGCAAAACTCACATAACAAATGCCTCACTTAACAACAGAAATTTTGGGCTGAATTGTGGTCTGTCTATAAATGGGCAGTTTCCAAATCTGATAAGTATATAACAAATAAAAGGTAAGTATAGATATCACTAAGAAGTTGTTACTGTAAATAATGAGGAATCAAATGATTAAATCTGTGGATAATTTCCTTCACAAAAACTAAATGCTCTTTCCTCCAGATGCCACCAGAAATCAAGTGGTTTGCTGTTCACCCTCAAAAGCAGACTGTCAGCCCTGGAAGCCATCTTTCTCTTTGGATCTTCAGGACTGCCACATTTAATGCACAGGCCTGCTGTGGGAAAGTGGGAAGGGGTTGCATGGAGTGGGTAGAGATATATAGCCACAACAACATTTTTTCCTCTGGGAGTCAAGGACATTCACCCTGCACCTGGAGAGGCGTGACTGGGAAACATCTCCAGTTCAGAGGTGGGCTGCTGCCGGTTCGCACCGGTTCGGGGAAACTGGTAGTTAAGATTCTGCGCAGTTCAGTGAACCAGCAAATCCTACCACTGACTGGCCCTGCCCCCACTCAGTTTTCGGCCTGTTTCTAGGCTGTTTTTCAGGGCAGAAACAGCCTGGAAAACGGCCTGAAAATGGCCCCAAAACCAGCTTGAAAACTGTCCCAAAAACGGCCAAAAACAGGCTGAAAAATAAGCGGGGGTGGGGCCAGCAGTGGTGGGATTAGCCCCAACCGGCTGAATCCTACCTCTGCCTTTGAGGCGAGTGGCTGGGAGGCGGGGCTAGGTGTGATGAGTGACATCACCCACCCAGTCACATGACCAACTGGCCATGCCTAACCAGCCAGAGAACCAGTTGTTAAGTTAAGTCCAACCACTGCTCCGGTTGGGACAGTGGATTGATTGGACCATGTGATAGACATATGGGTGCAGGGGAAGGGACTTTGACTTTCCTTTGGGTGGAAAAAACCCGGGAGACTTTCAGATTTGGGTTTTCCCAGATGTGCCAATATGTCATCTCTAAGAAAATGGAACTTTGAGGGAATGCCTACCTCGGAGTCTTATTCGTTTGGGGGGGGGGGTTACTTGGAACTTGACACAGACTTCCTTTGGCCTATTTGGATTAGCCATTATTATTCAGAAAGAGGCATGCATGTTGGATTTTGCATGAAACATCAACAGTAAAACCAAATCTGGAATGGAGAGAGGCAAGGAAGGCGGTGTTTGATGGTAAGGACCTGAATGCAAAGCGCCCACTTCTTGTTCCAAGATTACATTTGTCCAGTAGTTCTTGTTTTCCAAGAAACAAATTGGAAACAGATTGGGAACTCTATTTCAGCCGGGGAATATAACGCAGTATCAATACACAAAGGGTAAGCTTGGCAGCTTTAATGTGAAAAAAATGTCAGACATCCAAGGTCAGCTGGCTCGCTCTCCTCTCCTCCTTCCGGAAACTGGGAATCTAATCCTATGAATTCCAGCATCATAATTTAGAGAGGTGGTATGTGTCTCTTTCCCTTCTCCCTGGCCGCATTTCAAATCCACAACTACATGCTCAAACCAAATGTCTGCTGGAGTAAAACATTTTAAAACTAGCTGGATGGCTTTTAAAGTTTCTGCCTTAATGTTATTGACATTTGTGGTGTCTCCTACATTTAATCTAATCCAGCCTATTAACTACCCTGAATTTAACGCGAAGGAAAAAAAAATAAGTGTGGCTTTGTGGTTGCCAATAGGAACTTGAATAAGTTTTACATGTTGATAATAACCTTCTGTTGCCCCCAGCCTCTCTCACTTTGCATAATTTTTGTGTGCTTTGCTAATCATAGGAAGGGTAGAAAATATAAGAATGTTCCAAGAACTTCCCCCCTCCTTTAAGTCTTAGTTCTCTCTCTACATAATTTCAGATAATAAGCATCCAAATGTCCTTTAAAGCACATTTTAAAAAAGAAAGAAGAATGAGGGCTAGAAACTTGTTTATTCTAAGTATAAAAATATAATAGAAATCACAATAAGACATTTCTTCATCAAATGCAGTCAAATAGAGGTCCTACCTAACACACCACAAGCTGTGTCCATATGTGGGTGCTGGAGAGACGATCGTTTGTAGATCACATGAGGGCTTCCTTCTCTTCCTTGTTCCTCACTGATATTGTCCCCAAGTGTCAGGGGTTCAATAAAATACTCATCATCTTCTGCAATTATCACACCATGCTGGAACAAAGAAAGGCAGGAAACTGCGTGCTTGCATTCAATAAAAAGAACACAGTATCTATGGAGATTCTCAGTCATCCAATTCATGGTTGTCCCAAAGGTGCTTTTTCCAAGAGGCAACTGGACTTTCTTTGTTTTTTTCCTTGAAGACATTTTGCTTCTCATCCAAGAAGCTTCTTCAGTTCTGACTGAAGATCTGGCTCTTAGAACTGAAGAAGCTTCTTGGGTGAAAAGTAAAACCTTCCTCTTCAGGGAAAAAACAGAGAAAGTCCAGTTGCCTCTTGGAAAAAAACACCTTTGAGACAACACAATTAATAGGTAAAGGTAAAAGTTCCCCTTGCTCATATGTGCTAGTCGTTCCCGACTCTAGGGGGCGGTGCTCATCTCTGTTTCAAAGCCGAAGAGCCAGTGCTGTCCAAAGACGTCTCCGTGGTCATGTGGCCGGCATGACTAAACACCAAAGGCTCACAAAACGCTGTTACCTTCCCACCAAAAGGTGGTCCCTATTTTTCTACTTGCATTTTTTACGTGCTTTCGAACTGCTAGGTTGGCAGAAGCTGGGACAAGTAACGGGAGCTCACCCCGTTACGCAGCACTAGGGATTCGAACTGCTGAACTGCCGACCTTTCGATTGACAAGCTCAGTGTCTTAGCCACTGAGCCTCCGAGTCCCTTTACAATTAATAGATTCAATCTAATGTCTCTGTTCTCCCACTTTCTTTAAGTCGGGTGGTTTTGAGATGCTGACTTGGTTATTTTTTTAGATTGTTTTGCCTGCTCAGGGCAGGATATGTATCTATGTAACACTCCCTCAACTTATTTCCCCCCACAACAACACTCCTATGAAATAGGCTGGGGACAAAGGAAGTGACTGTCCAAGGTCACCAAATAAACTTCTACAGCAGATAGTGGATTTGAACCCATGTCTCCCAGTGTCAGTCCAGCACCCTGTTGACAGGGAAGAAAATTGAGAAAGCAAAAATCTAGAGAGAAAAGGGACATGAATTGTATACCAGATATGCTGGCAGACAATTAGCTCATCAAGGTCTTACAACTTAGACCGCTTTCTCAATTTCAGTCTGATTTTTTGGGGAGGGGGTGGGTATTACAAGAAAAGCATCTGGAAAGGCTTAAAGGCCTGAATAGGTACATAAGTAAGGGCTCATTCTTTGAAATACCATTTTGCATTAACCATACATTTGTAATGGTTAGTTCAAAGTACCACTTTCTTTCCAGTTTAAAAAAAAGCCAGTTTCATTAGTGATTAAAGAATCAGGCTTAGAAACCGGGAGACAGTGAGTTCTAGTCCTGCCAATCCCTCTCTCTCAGCCCAACCCACCTCACAGGGTGGGGAAAATAGGAGGAGGAAGGAGTATTATGTATGTTTGAGTTACTTATAAAGTAATAAAGGCGGGATGAAAATCTAATAAATAAATAAAATGAAAAAGCAACTGAGGTAGAGGATTGTGTGTTTTTCTCATGGGTAAATATGAGTACTGTATTTTTCGGACTATATCTCGCACCAGTGTATAAGACGCACCAAGATTTCAAAGAGGTAAGCAAGAAAAAAAAAGCTTTTGCCCTCCCTGGCCCCTGGAGCACTCTGCAGGCCTCCCGAACCCCCTGCGTGCCCCGTTTTTGCCCTCCCCAGTCCACAGGAGCACTCTGCAGGCCTCCCAAAGACTCTGCGCGCCCTGTTTTCTGAAAAACGGGCCCATTTTTCGCAAAAATGGGACGCACAGGGCAGGGCTTCGGGAGGCCAAAAATGGCTGTATTCGGTGTATAAGATGCACCAACATTTTCATCCTCTTTGGGGGGCGTGGGGCGTCTTATACTCTGAAAAATACGGCAAATTTTTTCTTCTCACATAAACACCTACAAACAGGTTGCAACTGTGATGGTATGACAAGATTAAAGCAAACAAATACAAAATACATAAAATTAAAACAACATTTAAGGAACAAACGACAAGCATCCTGAGGACCTATGAAATTATATAACCTAACTAAAAGATGAATGGTGTCAGCACGTCAAGATGCATTTATCCTAGTGCTGACATGAGAAGGAGAACGCAAGTGTCTGCAACGGGACGGCTGCCTTTCACCTACTTATTTTAGCTGGAGATAATGTCCCCTAGGAGATGGATGGGAGGGGGGAAATTCTTTGAATTGGAGCAGTAGATTAGGGGTGAATGATTGGGAAGATGGCCAATGAATGCAGAGGAGTGGGGGAACGAAGAGGAGGGATTTTGGGTCAGCACGGCAGTGCTGGCTGCATGGAGTCAGGGAAAAAGTTGCCGTGCTAAATAAAATGGAAATTTGTTTCAAAAAAGACTTTGTTTGAGACGCAATTTATTTGAAGACGGCCTGAAAACCTGACAAATGGATTTGGAATAAATCTGTAACCCGTATCAGGGTATGGGACCGGGTATGGTAATTTAAGGGAGCACCTTGCCCTGATTTCATCCACCTGTCCTACCAGATCCAACAGAGTGAGAGCAGGGTCTGGAACAACTCGACTCGACCAACTCACTACAGCCAATTCACCATAGCCACTTTGCCACAGCCAACTTGCCACAGTCAACTCATCACAGGGTTACTTGCCTTGGGACAATTCAATGCTGCATTAATCATTTCATTCAGTTACTTTTATTATTAGTGACCACATTTTCATTCAAATTATTGTAACTTTTGTATTTCTGGATTGACTTCTTTATTTTATTATTATTGGCCACAGTTCCGTCGAAATTAATTTAACTTTTGTGTCTTGAATTGTCCTGGAGTGAGCTGTCCCATGGCAAGTTGGCCGTGGCAAGTTATTCCTATCCAGAGTGGGCATGCTAAGGGTTCTCTTGTCTAAGGAGCTACTTCTGGCGGGCCCTAAGTGGCAGGCCTTTTCTGTTGTGACATCTTCTCCCCTCCCAAGTGAGGATGGCTTCATTGCTTCTGAGCTTGTGGAAGCCCCTTAAGACCTGGTTGTGACAGCAGACCTGGGAACCCCAGGGGATGGGTGAACAAGTGAGGTGGCTCTGTCTACTACTAGCATCCCTTCCTCTATTATTTCTATTTCAGCTGAAAAACAGAACCAGAATTTCCGTTCGCTAAACCAAGTGGTTATTAAGTGAGTCGCTCCTGACTTTATGACCTTTTTAGCCTCGGTTGTTAAGCAAATCACTGCAGTTGTTCAGCAGATCTGGCTTTCCTCACTGATTTCGCTGCTCGAAAGGTTGCAAGAGGCAATCACGTGACCCCATTTGCAAATACATACCAATTGTCAAACGCCCAGATTTTGATCATGTGATCGTGGAGGTGCTGTAACTATTGTAAGCATGAGGACTGGTCATAAGTCACTTTTAAAGCGTCACTGTTAACTTTGAACAGTCACTAAACAAATGGATGTAAGCAGTGGTGGGTTTCAAATTATGTTACTACCGGTTCGCTGTGCGTGTGCACACTCACCTTCCGCACATGTGCCCAGCCTTCCGCGCATGTGCTTTGCTCTTACGTGCACCTTTTGCGCATGCGCCAGCTTAAAAAAGGTACCTAAATAGGATGGCATAGAGCCAGGGTGGGTGGGCAGGCCCACCCACAATTTCCGCTACCAGTTCGGGCAAACCGGTCTGAACCGGCTGAATACCACCTCTGGATGTAAGTCAAGGATGGCCTGTACTGTCAAGAGCTCTTGTATATCAAAGGCTTTTACACATTCCTTATCTCTTACAAATTTCTGTCGCTCTGGTTTAATTTGAGATAATTGCAGAACAACAACAACAACGAAAAGTATCAGAGAATCGCAAGGGTGTTATTTTCCTTCTAAAAGCAGTTCTTAAGAAATTTAGCAAATTTAAATAGCGGTTGATCTTTTGAAACCCCCCCAGCTTCTGTCAACCTCACCACAACAAACCCTGAATCGCTCTTGTGTGCCTGCAGCTAAGCATTCAACTTCAGCCGCCCTGCGAGGGGGTGTGATGGGCCAGCAGTGGTTTCTCGCTTCCTATGAAAGCTTTGTAGCTCTTGGCCAGAGGCCATCATTCCAAACACAAGCGAGGTAGTGTGAGGATAGTTTGGCGGGAAGTTGCCAGAAACTCAAGGATCAGTCGATGAAGGCAGCTGGGAAGGGGGAAGAAAACTCTTGGCGTGGAGCGCAATAGTTGGGGCATGTGTGTTTGTGGTACGGTGTGGAGATGGGGGGGGGGGAATGTAAAGAACAGAGGCTCCGAGGGACGCTTATAAAATTCTCTTCAAATTACCTGGCCTCATTTCCGAAATGGAACCACTGCATTAGGAATTTAAACAAATGGGTGGGATTTGGCAATCAAGGGCACTTTAGCTAAACATGAGAAAAAACTTCCTAATGGTAGAAGCCGTTTGGCAATGAAGCAGTTTGAGCAATGTTAAAAATGAGGACTCGGCAGGCATTTGCTTTGACGGTGGAGCAACTGAGCAGCCTGAAGTCTGGGAGGAAGGAGAGGTCACTTTGGTTACCGGATCTGGGGTGGCAAAAATATGGATCGCAGCCAGGGGGCGGCAAAGAGATGCAGAAAACTAACTCTTTGCTGTCCTCTGCTGAGCCGCTGGATTTTTGCAGAAGGAATCTGGCAACTTTACCTTTGACCCTTTTCTTCTGGCAAATGTTTTGCTTTCCCAGCTGCTATTTCATGCCTTACTAGTATGGTTTGCAAATAGACATCACAGTTGCAGTTTGCTTGTAGACGTTTTTGGGAGAAGAAAAAATCTGACCATACTCTCCCCTTCCTGCAGGCAAATCACCAGACTGTCAGTTTTTTTACAGATAGTCCTTGACTTATGGCCCCAAAGCAAGACACTGAAGTGAGTTTGGCCCCATTTTATGACCTTTCTGGCCACAGTTGTTAAGCGCATACATTCTGGTTACTGAGTGCCCAAATTTTGATCACATGACCATGGGGATGTTGTGACAGTTGTAAGTGTGAGGACTGGTTGTAACAGTTTGAACAGTAACTTTGAACAGTTGCTGAATGGAATGGAATGGAATGGAATGGAATGGAATAGAATAGAATAGAATAGAATAGAATAGAATAGAATAGAATAGAATAGAATAGAATAGAATAGCAGAGTTGAAAGGGACCTTGGAGGTCTTCTAGTCCAACCCCCTACACCATTTCAGACAAATGGCTGTCCAATCTCTTCTTAAAAACTCCCAATGTTGGAGCATTCACAACTGGTTGTAAGTGGTTGTTAAGTCACGGACTGACAAAATGGGTTGTAAGTCAAGGACTATCTGTAAGGTCATGTTTGTAATGAACTACAATTTCTTCCATTTGATAAGAACGCTTTGAAGTCATTCAGCATGTCTTTTGGAGCCGGACAAAAAATGTTGTTCAAAATGACCAGCAAATGGTTGTTTTGTGAATCCCACCAGAAGTTAGGAAGAAAACAAGACACTTACCAGACCGTTACAATTACTGATAGCAACTTTTGAGTTCAGATACTCATCTTGTAAATGACCAGCATAGTGGCAATCTTCATGGAACTCATGTTGGTAGTCTACTCCGCCTCTTTTCCAATACTCCACTCGAAAGCGCCTCGCCAGCAAGTTGGTGTGTAACGTCAAGTTGAGAAGGAATTGGGTCCGGTGAGCAGAGACCTTGTAGAACACGTGCTGTTCAGGCGTGTCGTAGGAGGGGTGGCCTGCACTCCGGCGGGACCTCCATTTCCGATGGCTTTTGATGTCAAAACTGAGGAAGTCACCATTCTGATCCACCTGGATAGGGAAGGCAATCTCGTAGTGGCTGAGGTTGGAGAGAAATTCTTCTGTGAAGGCAGAAGAGGACAGGAAAAGAGTAACTGAGGAGGGTGATCTGCCCTCAGGGGGTCTTTAAATCAGGGTTTTTATCCTTTTAGTTCCTTGGAGGCAGTGGTGAAATGTAAAATTTGTTACTACCGGTTCTGTGGGCGTGGCTTGGTGGGGGGGGTTGTAATATGACTGAGTGGGCGTGGCCAACTTTTTTTTTTTTACTTTTAAAAGCATTTTTTCTACAATCTCTTCAGCTAAAAAAAATGCTTTAAAAAGCCTCTGACGATCCCAGATGAGTTGCCTGATTGGCAGAGGCTTTCTTTTTTTTTAAAAGCTTCTGACGATCCAGCTGACTTGCCTGATCGGCAGAGGCTTTTTTTCCTTTTAAAAACATTTTTTCTATAACCTCTTCGGCCGAAGAGGTTGTAGAAAAAATGCTTTTAAAAGTAAAAAAAAAGCCTCTGATGATTGTGTGGCTCAGCTGGGCATGGGGAGGGTGGGGGGGCAGGGATTTTTGCTACTGGTTCTCCAAACCACCCATCTCCATTGCTACTGGATCAGGCGATCCGGTCCGAACTGGGAGCATTTCACCTCTGCCTTGGACCCCTTTGAGAGTTTGGTAAGATCTATGTATCTGATCTCAGGAAAAAAAATGTGCTTAGATGTGTAAAATAAAATATATACAGTAGTTATACATTGGATCTCAGAGAAAACTAGTTATACAAGTAGTCCTTGACTTATGACAATTGAGACCAAATTGCTGTTGCTAGGCAGGACACTTGTTAAGTGAATTTTGCCCCATTTCACAACTTTTCATGCAACAGTTGTTGAGTGAATCACTGCATTCGTTAAGTTAGTAACATGGCTGTTAAGTGAATCTGGCTTCCCCATTGATTTTGCTTGTCAGAAGGTCGCAAAAGGTGATCCCATGACCCTGGGACATTGCAACCGTCATAAATATGAGTCAGTTACCAAGCGTCTGAGTTTCGACCATGGGGATGCTGCAGTGGTCATAAGTATGAAAAAAATCACTTTTTTTAGTACTGTGGTGACTTTGAACAGTCGCTAAATGAATTGTTGTAAGTCAAGGACTACCTGCACTCAGCTTTGAGTATGGTGCTGGCAAAAATTATTGTGTATACCACAGCCAGCCAGAGCAAGCAACAGAGAGCTGCTGAATTGTATAAAACCATAGAAGCCCAACTCACAAGATTACATCTGATTTACTTTGGTTATGTTATGCATGCAAATTCATTGGAGAATGGAGAAGTCAATGGTGCTAGGAATGGTTAGTGGAACAAGAAGGGGCAAGCAAAGAACACGCTGGCTTGATAACATCAAAACTGATACAAAGATGAACATCCAACAACTGAAAGAAGCTGTGCTTGACAAGGTAGCATGGAGAGCACTTGCTTATAAAGTCGCCAAGAGTCGGACACGACTGAACTGTTTAAACAACAACTCGACTTTATTTTTCAAAGATATTGAAAAAGAACAAATATATAATATAGGAATAGATGTGCTTCTTTATTAACCCGTTAACTCAATAACAAGGCAATCAATAAATTTAAAAGATGGACAAGTTAGTGAAAATAAGTTGTATTTATATTCCCCCATCCAAGTTTTTGGACTTTGTGTGTGCATAGAAGCATAACGCTATTTTATTTTTTATCAGAATTTTGGTAATAGTGTTCTGTTAATAAAGATGTGTACCCTGATTAAGGGAAAGATTAAAATGATCTGATAGGTTGTGCAGTGTTTCCCCTTTTGTACCCTATCACTCTGGATGATTCCTTTGGAACATTCACCTATCTGTTCTATTTTAGGATTTTCGCAGAATACTGGTGAAACTTTGCACTACCAATGCAAGGTTAATGGCTAGCAATAGCAGTAGCACTTAGACTTATATACTGCTTCGCAGTGCTTTCCAGCCCTCTCTAAGCAGTTTACAGAGTCAGCCTATTGCCCCCAACAATCTGGGTCCTCATTTTACCCACCTCGGAAGGATGGAAGGCTGAGTCAACCTTGAGCTGGTGAGATTTGAAGTGTCAAATTCAGCAGTCAGCAGAAGTACCTTTCAGTACTACACTCTAACCACTGCACCGCCACGGCTCATGGGGCTGTATGTTAGCAACGTGATCTTTGCAGAAACAAGTCTGAAGGTCCTATGTGGCGGTGAGCCATATAGCGTCCACCTTTAGCTTAGGGACTAGAAATACAAGATTTCAAAGATCATTAACCATGGTAGAATTTTGTGTTTTGGGCCAGTAACACTGTACCTTGTGACTGAAAGGTGTAGCCAGGAAGGTTGCCTGTAGACATGGTAGAGACAAGTGTCCAGGTGAGAAATCTCCAGACCGTTGCCATCTTGGGCGGCAGTACTCTTTATAGTGTCAGCTGGGTTGGACCAAGTTGACCGACTCTGCCCCAACATTTCTTTCTTTGAGCCACCACTTATGCCACTGCAAGAGAGGTTCCAGGGTCCTTCGTGGTCATCCTCAGCCGCTCTCTGGAAGGCAGTGAGGACGGGGGATGTTTAAGGCGTCTTGAAGCAGGATCTCGTCCTTCAGCATATGCCAGTTCTCTATTGCATTGCACTGGAGGAGATTGGATAGTGAGCGGAGGCAACAGTAGCAGGGAGCAGAAGAGGAGGAAGCAGAGTTTAAGGGGGGGAAAAAAACAACAGGAAATATTAAAATACAGGTAGTCCTCAACATACAACCCAAATTGACCCCCAAATTTCGGTTAAGTGAGACACTTGAGTTTTGCCCCATTTTACAACCTTTCTTGCCACAGTTGTTAAGTGAATCAGTGCAGTGGTTAAAGTAGTAATATGGTTGTTAAGAGAATCCAGCTTCCCCATTGACTTTGCTTGTCAGAAGGTCATAAAGGGTGATCACATGATCCCAGGATAATGTAATGGTCACGAGTCAGATGCCAAGATCCCGTGACTATGGTGATGCTACAACAGTCATAAGTGTGAAAAATGGTCGTAAGTCACATTTTTCGAATGGACATTAACTGTTGTAAGTCGAGAATTACCTGTAACAATTTAGCCACTGAGTGATGGAAAAACAGAGCTGAAACCAGGGGTGAAATCTAACATTTGTTACTACTGGTTCTGTGGGCGTGGCTTGGTGGGGGGGTAATGTGACTGGGTGGGCGTGGCCAATTATTATTTTTTTTACTTTTAAAACCATTTTTTCTACAACGTCTTCGGTGAAGAGGTTGTATAAAAATGCTTTCAAAAGGCTCTGACAATCCCAGCTGAGTTGCCTGATCGTCAGAGACTTTTTTTCTTTTAAAAGCCTTTGATGATCCCAGCTGAGCCGCGGAATCATCAGAGGCTTTTTTTTTTTACTTTTAAAAGCATTTTTTCGGCCGAAGAGGTTGTAGAAAAAATGCTTTTAAAAGTTAAAAAAAAAGCCTCTGATGATTGTGCGGCTCAGCTGAGCATTGGGGGGGGAGGTATTTTTGCTACCGGTTCTCCGAACCACCCGCCTTCATCGCTACCGGATCAGGAAATCTGGTCCGAACCGGGAGCATTTCACCCCTGGCTGAAACTTATCTCTCATATGTGATTAAGTGAGGTTTACCATGTGTCTTAACTAGAAGGCTAGAAACTGGGAGGCTGTGAGTTCTAGCCCTGTCTTGGGCATGAAGCCAATTGGGTGACCTTGGGCCAGTCATTTCTCTAAGCCCTAGGAAGGAGGCAGTGACAAACCACGTCTGGAAAAGCTGCCAAGAAAACTGCAGGGACGTGTCCAGGCAGACTCTGAGAATTGGACATGACTGAACACAAGAAAAAAAAAGACATGTGTGCAGAGCATAAAATGAAGCATGGTGCTTCAAGCTTTCTTTTTTTAAAAAAAAAGTTCTGGAACAAAACTGCTTACAAAAGCACTAAATGAGCCAATGCTTTAATGGGAAAACATTTTTCAGACGGATGACAAGAAAGATGTTCAAATTTCTGGACTTTGGTGGCTTTTTGCCTCTTGAAACCAACAGAGAAAAAGATGGAGAAGAGAGAGTGAAGACCGAAAAGCAAAAAAGAAAAAGCGATTCAGAAATATTAAGTGGACGCTGCGCAGGAAGAAAAATATTGGCAGAGGAGAAAAAGAAAGAGAAGGGAAGGAAGAAGGAACGAGAACGGATTTCAGCAGACTGGAGGGGAACAGAAGGTTGGCAAAGTAATGGATGGAAGAGCAAAGCAGAAGAGGTTAATGGATCACGGGAAGGAAAGGCAATGAGACAATAAAAGAGAGAAATTCAGCTGATAGTGTGGCTGGTGGTAGCGAAGAAAAGAAAAGGAAAAGGAATAGCAAGAAAGGAATTCAGCTCAGAGCATGCCTGTCTGAAGTCAGCATTTTTCCTTTGTCAGCCTTCCAGAATTTCCAGGCTGAGGCCTGGTTTACCTCAGCCTCATTAATTGCCTCGCATTTCAGTGTGTGAAGCAGCTTCCCTTGGGCCCTTATGAATAATTACTTCTCATTACCCTTCAGCAACTCCCAGTCCCAGCTGATGGACACCCAACCCAACGCCCCCCCCCCCCCCCAGCTTGTTTTTTATACGAACCCCCCCCCCCCAGCCTCTTGTCCTGTTGCATTTTGCAACTTGTGCTTTAAATTTCTGCAGATTCAGGAAATAGCTGGCTCAGCCTTCCTACTTGGTGTCCTCCAGATGTGTTGGAACATGTAGCAGAATTTGCACTCGGCCTATTTGGACTTGTCTGGTGGCATCTGGGGAGCACCAGAAGGTTGTCTTAGACAGGGACTGTCATATCAGAGCTGCAAAATCACAAACATTAGAGGACAGCAGAGATCGGGTAAAGCTCTCTTTGCTGCCCTCTAGTGCATGTCTAAATTTTGGCAACTCAGATGCAGTTACTCTGTTGTAGACCTTTTCTCTCCCCCTAACTCCCACTCCTCCTCCTCTTCCTCCAAACATATTGTTGTGCCGGAGAGGAAGGGAGGGCAGCTATTCTTCCTTTCACCACCAGAGCTGGAGAGAATTTAGCCATTTGGCTCAATCTCTGGTTTGAGATGTTAATGGAAAGCAGATGAGGATTGATTTTTGCCCTAAGGGGTGCCTCTTTTTGTGCTACAAAGCAAATCAGGACATTTTCTGCAGGGCTTTCCATCCTCTAGTTCATGTTTGTAGAACGGAACCTGTGATTTATTTAACATGTTGAAGATCTCAAGCAGAATGAAGAAAATTCAGAGGAAACCCACCCCTCAATTTATTTATTTATTTATTTCTTAGTTTGATTTATATGCCGCCCTTCTCTGGAGACTCAGGGCGGCTTACAATGCTTTTAAGCAATAGCCTTCATACTTTTGTATATACCTGCTTAGTAGGGCTTTTGGCCCCCTCCAAGCAGTGTTTTATTTTATACAAAGTCAGCTTATTGCCCCCACAATCTGGGTCCTCATTTTACCTACCTCGGAAGGATGGAAGGCTGAGTCAACCTTGAGCCTGGTGAGATTTGAACTTGCAGTAATTGCAGGCAGCTGGCAGCTAAGTACTACTTTAACAGTAGTTTAGTCCACTGCACCACCAGGTTCCTTTTCTCCGTGTTTTCACCTAAATCTCCTCCTTTATGGTAGTCAGAGAGTTGGTTAAGGAAAATCCACCTACCCTTTGATGCCACCACCACAGCATCTCCAGGGCAGATGTACATGGGAAGAACTTTCTTGGATTAAACCAAGATAATCTCAGTTTATCTCAGCCTGGTACTGTACTTTCTATAAATGTTGGGACTACATTTCCCAGAATTCCACCTGCTACATATTTGGAAGGCACTGTGTCCAGACAGATGCAACTGGGAAGCCTACAAACAAAACTAGAATCATTCCAGTTCTATTCTGCTCGTGACTTGAGATACTTGAGATACACAGACTTGAGATACACAGTTGAGATATCTCAACTGTGACTTGAGATACTACACAGTACAGGAACGAAATAATTCAGCCATCTGCTATGACAGTGATGGCTAACCTTTTCCGGACTGAGTGCCCAAAGTGTGTGCGTGAGTGCACATGCGCGTGGCCCAACCCCCAAAATGCAATGTGTATGCGGCCCCCGCACATGCGCACGTAACCCCTCGCACGTCCCCCGCATGCACTCGTGCCACCCTGCTAGCACCCCACCACCACCACACATGCGCGCACACCCCCTGCACACGCCCTGCTCCCCGTGCATGTGTGGCCCCCCGGACACGCACCACCCCCGTGCATTCACACGTGCCCCCCTGCATGTGCCCCCCCCGCATGCATGGCAGAGACCGGATGACCAGCTGGCTGGTGGGAATGGTGGAGCTGAACTGGGGCAACAGTTTGCATGCCATCAGAGAGGGTACTATGTGCCATCTTTGGCATGCGTGCCAGAGGTTCGCCATCACGGCGCTATGAATTCACTTTAAGAAGCACCTACAGGTAGTCCTGGAGTAATGACTGTAACAGACCCTGCCCATTACAATCATAATGGTTGTAACAGGACAGTCACATAACCTGATTTTACAACCTTTATTGTGACAGTCATTAAGCAAACATGGCAATCATAAAACGAACACAACAGTTGTTAAGCAAATGCCGTGGTTGTTAAGCAAACCCATAGGTGCAGTTTTGTTGAAAACTGGAAGATAGTGCTGCTTTCTGGCAAAACTGTTGTAAAACGTGGACACGTAATTGCAAGACACTGCAACGACAATAAATGCAGTCATGTTGCCAGGCACCCAAAGTCCGGTCATGTGACTGCAAGGTGGGGGGGGCACTGTCGGAATTTTAGATCCAGGTCATGACGCCTTTTTTGGAGTTAGTCATAACAAAGCAACTGGTATAACTCAAAGATGTATTTCTCAGAATCTCAGCCTCTCCATCTGCATATGGCACAATCTGGCCATATGTAGATGGGTGGATGGGTGGAAGGAAGGAAGGGAATATATTTGAACCAATGGAAAGAGTGAGTAGAAAGAAAGTAGACTTGAACTGATGGAATATAGTGGAAGAAGAAAAAAGAAAGGATAGGATATAAATCTAATTACAGTAATAAAATAATAAATAAATCGAATTTACTGTCTGTCATTTCAGAGGACAAGATAAAGAAGGAAGCAGTGTGTCCTTCCCAAATTTTCTACCAGTGTATTGTTTTCCTTTCCTAAATTAACTGCATTAGTTCACATTTTAATATTCTGCATAACAATGATATAACTTTCTGTGTACATTTTTCACATATACAAATATATCCACGCATAAACACATACATACACCTGACAGCACATTTTCTGGCATGATATATCTGAGATATAGATGATTTGAATTTTTTTTTTTTCAGTTCCATGTTTTTCTATGCACACTTTCATCTCATACCAGCGTCTTTTTACACTTGTTGTTTTTAATCCAAGAACTTCATGGCAAAATTTAGCAAAATGTAAAGGCAGAAATTGTAATTCTACCTTGGTTGAAGTATTTATCTTGGATGTGTAGATTAGGCATAACCCAGAGGAAGTGAATTCTTCTCTCTGCTTGGATAGGGCCCAAATTGATGGGTTCAATTAATTAGAACAAAGGGATTTTAGTTACATTTTGAGAATTTGTTGATGATACAAGAAAGCCCAAGTAGTGGATCTGCTTTCATTGAAAGGCAGAAAGAGATCATCTAACAGGTCTGTTTGTTTGTTTATTTACTTACTTACTTATTTATTGGATTTATGTGCAGTGCAAAGGGATTTTAGTTATATTTTAAGAAGGAATTTGTTGATGATATGATGGTTCATCGATAAAAAAAAACCCTGCTTTAAAAAGTGGTGGACTTGCTTTCATACAAAGTTTTAACTAGAAAGAGGTCATCTTGCAGGATATCTATCTATCTATCTATCTATCTATCTATCTATCTATCTATCTATCTATCTATCTATCTCGCTGTTTGAGAAAGTTGCATAACATTCTCAGAGACTCTTCCCATCCTGCTTACAATCTTCTTGGACTGTTGCCTTCTGGCAGAAGATACAGAACAATTAAAACTCGGACCACACATTTTCGGAATAGTTTTTATCCCAGAGGTATAATTGCACTCAACAATGAACTAAAGAGCCACCATCAGTGTGCTATTGGACAGCATTACTTGGTCTGTTGTGTGGTTTAGGGGTGAGGAATTGTGCTGGGTGGGAGTGTGTTTGGGGATTGTTATGTGTGTTGGACCTGGTCTTTGGGTGTTAAATGAATTTCATTGTATGGGTATACTGTGTATACACGTACAATGACAATAAAGTTATTATTATTATCTATCTATCTATCTTATCTAACTGATTTATGTGTTGCTCATTTTGTCCTGGGGCGACTCTGGGCATCTTATAAACATTAAAAACTAAAACAGTAATAGCAATAATCATAGTTATACTAAAAATATAACATTAAAAGATTAAAAGAAGATGTGGGGGGAGAAAAGAACGGAAGACGACAAGAGGTGGAGTTTCCTTCAATCTACTAACCACCTCCAGAGTGATTTCAACACACACATACACACCAGAGGGAGAGAGAGAGAGAGAGAGAGAGAGAGAGAGAGAGAGAGAGAGAGAGAGAGAGAGAGAGAAGGAGGGAGAGGGGTCTTCAGGCCCTTACAGCAGGTTAGGAGCCAAAGCAGAGAAAGCTCTTCTCCTGGACCTGCCCACCCAAATTTCTTGCCTGACAGGGTCCATAGCATGTCCTCTCTGCCGGCATAGCGGGGTGGGGGGAACCCATAATATTATCTTTCAACTTTGTCATTATATTTCACTTCTGCTTTTGCATATCTATTAAAGGAGCAGGATGTATGCAAATTCCCCCAAAGCATGAGCTCCCAAACATCTGGATTCTAATCTTGATCCAATTCCAACTTGTTCTGAAGGCTAAACCTCCTTTTATTAAGATCTTGTTATTTGCACTTCTAATCCACGAGATGTAAATCCTTGCTTTTCATCTTGACAAATGTTTACTTGAATATATTAAAAGAATACGTTCCCAGGGATTTGATTAAATGGGTGGTGCTTGGGGGTTTTATTTTATTTTGGGTGGGTGGTTTTCAGACGTTTTCCGGGATCTAATCTGAGGAACATATGATTTGAAGATGCTGTGCCAGCTCTCCAGCGGCTCTTGCAAAATTTAGCACCACCGTTAATTGGCTGTTCCAAGGAAGGGTATTTTGGAAAACCATCCAGGAAAATGGAGAGATTGCCCTATACACCGAAAAATAAAAAGCGAAGAGATAAGAGGGACAGAGACAGAGAAGCCGGAGGGCAGGGCAGGGCAAGGAAAGGCAGACATATAATTCCACACCGCCTGACAGGCTGCCACAGAAGACAGGTAATTAAAAGCAGTCCCAAAAAGGGGAAAAAAAAAAAAGAAAAGAAAAGTCAAAGCAAAAGTCTTGAGGGAGATGGAAACTGCAACTTTGCAACCAGATGGTTGAGGCTAAGCTTCGGGGAAAGGAACAGCAGCAGCAGCACCAATCTGCTGGCTCACGAGAAACAATGACAGGCCGTTTTCTGCATACGTGTGAAGCTTTGGGAACATCTGGCAAGCATTGCCTTCTCCCCCCCATCCTCTCCCCATGCTTCCCCACCCGCTCAGAAGGTGAGGAATCCTGCCCGATTTCAGGACCTTACCGCTCTCTCTCTCTCTCAGCTGGAGCAACCTTGGCAAGCCGTGCTCAGCTCCACCAGCTCGGTAGCATGGCAGTCCCAAATCCTGGCGCGGGATTTTGAGCCTTGCTGGGATGGCAAACTCCAAGGGGCCAAGCCAGGGCTGGAGAAGGGTGAGGGGGGTTGGAGCAGAAGAGAGAGAAAAAATAATAATTTTGCTTACCCTTTGTGAAAGTGGGTTGTGTGTGTGATTTTTTTTCTCTTGGCTGCCCCAAGTTCGTTTTTGTTTTTCCTCTTGTCAGAAAGTGCTCCAGACTTTTGAGGGCAAAGCTTTTCCTAAAGCCACAGCTGGAGGAGGTGGGGAAGAAAGAGAAAGAGAGAGAGAGAGAGAAAGAAGGAGATTTTTTTTTAAAGAAAAAAAAAAGAAAGGAAAGAAAGAAAGAAAGAAATGCAGGCAGCTCTCAAGCTAACGGATTACAGGGAGTGAGTGAGTGAGAGAGGAAGGCTCTTTTCCAAATATAAAAGGTCCATGAGAGAGGTTAGCAAGTAGTGTGGAGTGCAATAAGTTGCTTTAAAAAAAAAAAGAGGAAACTCTTGCCAGGCTAAATTAAAAAGAAGAAAAAAAAAAGAGAAAGAAATTCAACCACTCTTGCCTTTTCACCAAAAATAACTCCTCCTCCTCCTCCTCTGACGCCATCTAAAGGCAGGTCTCTCTCTTTTTTTGCTGTGATAGGATCAAGTCACCGTGAAAAGAAGGATCAGGACAAGTTATTTCAATTGCCCCTCCAAAGAAAGTCTGGTTTTTTTGTTTTTTTTTAAATGGCAACCTTCAAAATGTTTTAAAATAAAATTCACAATTAGCTGTAACAAGCCCAGAATTGCTTAGCCTTTGGAAGTGTGGAGCTTATCTGCTATTATAAACCGAAGTTCAGTTTTAAGAAGCTGCAAGAGTCTTGGTGCTTTTTTGCTTCAGCATACCATCGGGGCCAATTTTTTTCCGTTAAAAGGTTAAGAGCATTAAGAGTAGCCCATTTAGTAGAGGGCTAATATTCCCTTTCCCTGCACTGTTCCCACTTTTACACAAAGTTGTCATTTTAATTAAAGAAGTTCTCACTTCTTGTGATAGTGAGTTCCACCTGCCCTGTTATTTGGCATAGATCACTGCAGTGCTTAAGTAATTTAAGTAGTTTTTTTAAAATATTAACATAAGTGAATATTTTTAATACTGTCACATTTATGATTTTAATTGTAAGAGTTGCTTTGCAGATGGGCGGGTGGCATATAAATTTAATGAATGAATTTTTTTTTTTTAAATTTATTTTTATTTTTTGAATTTATATACCGCCCTACTCCCGAAGGACTCAGGGCGGTGAACAGCCAAAAGATAAAATACATGTAATACAAATGTTAAAAAACCATTAAAATACGATTAAATAATTTGGCCCAGAAAACAAAATTTAAAAACCCCAATTTTTATACGACAAATTTAAAATTTAAAAAATTTAAAAAACAGTTTAAAAAAGAGGTTAGGCCAGGCCGGCCTGCTGGAATAGGAATGTTTTGAGGGCACGGTGGAAAGCGCGCAGATCAGTGATCCTCCGTATCTCTGGGGAAGCTCGTTCCAGATGGCAGGTGCTCCCACAGAGAAGGCTCTCCCCCTGGGGGCCGCCAGTCGACACTGTTTGACTGACGGCACCCTAAGAAGCCCCTCTCTGTGGGAGTGTACTGGTCGGTGAGAGGCTACTGATGGCATAAGGCAGTCTCGTAGATACCCCGGTCCTAGGCCATGGAGCACTCTAAAGGTGGTAACCAAAACCTTGAAGCGCACCCGGAAGACCACCGGGAGCCAGTGCAGCTCGCGTAGGAGGGGGGTCACATGGGAGCGCCACATCGCTCCCATAACCACCCACGCGGCCGCATTCTGGATCAGCTGGAGCCTCTGGGTGCTCCTCAAGGGGAACCCCATGTAGAGAGCATTGCAGTAGTCCAGACAGGAAGTGATGAGGGCATGAGTGACCGTATTTAACGAATCCCGATCCAGAAAGGGACGCAACTGGCGAATCAGGCGAACCTGATAAAATGCCCTCCCGGCCACAGCCGGGAGACAGCTGTGAGTCCAGGAGGACACCCAAGTTGCGAGCCCTCTCCATGGGGGCCAACGACTTGCCCCCAATAGTCAGTGATGGCACCAACTGACTATATCGGGATGTCGGAAACCACAGCCACTCGGTCTTAATAACAGGAAGAGGGGAGAAATGATGCCATTCTTTTCCACCCAAGTTGAGATAATTACTAATTCATTTAAAAGTTATCGCAGAAAAAATAATTCATGGTGGGGGGAATAACATAGTGGAATAAAAGGTGGGTGGGGACTTTTTGGTGTGATGATCTTCTGCTATGAAACCACAGAATTCAGTGACATTTCTAATCTTTTTTTCCATGGTCATTTTCTATTAAAGTTCCAATTAAGAATAACAATTCTTAACAAAACTGATAAATCTGTGTCTCCTTTTTTCTTCAATGAAGCCTCCAGGTTTAAAAACAAATACAGGTAGTTCTCAACTTACAACAGTTCATTTAGTGACAATGTTAGTTACAATGGCACTGAAAGAAGTGATTTATGTCAACTTTTCACACTTATGACCGTTGCGGCAACCCCATGGTCGGTCAAAATTTAGACATTTGGCAATTGACTCATACTTATGACGGTTGCAGTGTCCCAGGGTCATGTGACCACCTTTTGCAACCTTCTGACAAGCAAAGTCAACGGGGAAACTAGATTCACTTAACAACCCTGTTGGTAATTTAACAACTGCAAGGATTCACTTAACAATTGTGGCAAGAAAAATCATAAAATAGGGGCAAAACTCAATTAACAAATGTCTCACTGAGCAACAAAAATTTTGGGCTCACTTGTCGTAAATCAAGGACTACCTGTAAGCAATTCCTGAACATGCCTTATATTCATGACTTGATTCATGACTTGAACTGGTCTGCTAGCTCATGTAAAGTGTGTGAAAGCATGACCCATATACTTGCATGATGTTTAGAGGGTCTGAAGGCCATATGAAATCACACCCCATTGTTGTGTGGCCTCTGCAGCCTCTGAAAAATGTTCACAAACAGGGTGTGCTTTTGAGAATAGTTGTTATGGGTGTTGGTGAACGCTGGAGTGTCACCTTTGACATGTGTGTCATAGGTTTGCCATCACTGCACGAGTGTCTAGTCCAGTGTTTTTCAACCTTGGCAACTTTTAAGATTTCCCATGTTGGCTGGGGAATTCTGGGAATTGAAGTTCCTACATCTTAAAGTTGCCAAGGTTGAGAAACACCGGTCTAGTATTTGTAGCAGTGAGTTTTGGAGAAATGAAAGTCTAATTAAGATAGTCAAGAGCAACATCCTGAGGAACCTGTTCACCTTTTGACAAACGGGAACAAGGCAGCAAGTCTCCCATGGCAGCCATTTTGTGAGTGTGCGTACCACACATTCTGAAATTCTCCATGTGTCTCAGCTTAGCTTCCCTGTGGTGTGTGAAAGTTGGGTTATTCACAGTAGTCACGTGGAGTTTGTATGGGAAAAAGCAACCTATCTCTGAATTCCAGATTTTGGAGGCAACAATGGGCAGCTAGACAATGCCCACTCTTGCCTTTGTGTGTTTTGCTTTTTGCATGGAATCCTTTAGCGCCTGGCACGGAAGGTAGAATTGCTGAATGATGCATTTACAGATGAAAATGCTTGTTGGATGCCAGTTAAAATGCCAGTAAGCCTAGGATGATTTGTTAATTCTAATGAAGGATTTTTGTATACAGTTTTGAAACAGTCCCATGAATCTATACAGGTGGTCCTTGACTTACGACCGCCATTTAGCCCAAAAGCTCTGTTGCTAAGTGAGACATTTGTTAAGTGAGTTTTGTCCCATTTTATGACTTTTCTTGTCACAGTTGTTAAGTGAATCACTGCAGTTCTTAAGCTACTAATACGGTTAAGTCAGGAATCAGCAACCTGCGGCTCGGGAGCCGCATGTGGCTCTTTCACCCCTCTGCTGCGGCTCCCTGTCACTGAAAATATGCGTCACAACTGCCAATGTGTGACACCCGCCGGCACGCAATTTATTGAACTTTTCAACCCCCGGTAGGCCAACCATGGATAAATCCAAGAAAAGTTTCAGAAGAAAACAGAACATTTAATTAATTAATTATGTAGTTAATTTAATGTAGTTAATTTAATTAACTACATATGCTAGTTTTGTGGCTGCTCAAGAAATAGTCAGGCACGGGAAGGGTTTTGTGGCTCCCGGTGTTTTCTTTTCTGTGGGAAACGGGTCCAAATGGCTCTTTGAGTATTTAAGGTTGCAGACCCCTGGGTTAAGTGAATCTGGCTTCCACATTGACTTTGCTCATTTGAAGGTTGCAAAAGGTGGTCGCAAGACCACAGGACACTGCAATGGTCATAGATACGATTCAGTTGCCAAGTGTCTGAATTTTGATCACGTGACAATGGTTGTAAGTGTGAAAATCGGTCAATAGTCACTTTTCACAGTGCTGTTGTAACTTTGAATGGTCACTAAATGAATTGTTGTAAGTCGAGGACCACCTGTACTGGGTTCCATTCCTTTGTTTGGATATATGCACAGACACAACAAAGGATCTTGGTGGATCCAAACAATTTTCAAGAAGGAATAAATTGTAGAGTTCTGCAGCATTCAGTCTCCACCTTTTTGGGGCAGCGGGGTTGAGTTCATACAATGCATTACATTCAAACCTCGTAACAAACCAGTATTGTTGTGCTACCTGAACACATTAAGCCCATGCCTTTATCCTTACAGCAGCCTAATTCATTTCCTTCCTTCCTTCCTTCCTTCCTTCCTTCCTTCCTTCCTTCCTTCGCCGCCAAATGATCTTCTAACGACAGCCGTGCGTCCAGGAGGACGCCCAAGTTACGAGCCCTCTCCGTGGGGGCGAGTGATTCGCCCCCAATAGCCAGCGATGGCGACAGCTGGCTATATTGGGACGCCGAAGCCACAGCCACTCGGTCTTGGAGGGGTTGAGTTGGAGCCTGTTTCTCCCCATCCAGGCCCGCACGGCCTCCAGGCACTGGGACATCACTTTAAGGGCATCATTGGGGTGGCCTGGGGTGGAGATGTACAGCTGGGTGTCATCAGCGTACTGATGGAACTCCACCCCGAAGCCACGGATGATCTCACCCAGCGGCTTTACATAAATGTTGAACAGAAGGGGCGAGAGGACCGACCCTTGTGGCACCCCACAAGCAAGGTGCCTCGGGGTCGACCGCTGCCCCCCTGTCAACACAGATTGCGACCGGTCAGAGAGGTAGGAGGAGAACCATCGCAAAACGGTGCCTCCCACCCCCAACCGGTGCAACATGATACCATGGTCGATGATATCAAAAGCCGCTGAGAGGTCTAACAGGACCAGGATAGAGGAGCAACCCCTATCCCGGGCCCTCCAGAGATCATCCACCAATGCGACCAATGCCGTTTCCGTGCTGTGCCCAGGCCGGAAGCCGGACTGGAGCGGGTCTAGATAGACAGCTTCATCCAGGTACCGGGGAAGCTGTTGCGCCACCACACTCAACAACCTTCGCAATGAA